ATTAATTTGGTTCTACAATGCAGGGGCTAATGGACTGGCTAACCCCAGGGACTTCCAAACGCCTGTGGCTTGGTTTGAGGACCGTACTGTAGCTACCGGTTACACCATTGTCAACAAGTACCAGGGAAAGCTCTTTTCATGTCAACAGGTACCATGAAATTATCGCGTCATTAGTAATTTCCATTACTCACACTGCTGGATCAATAAAGCACTGAATATTTATGGATTGCACACAATCTCTACAATCCATGCTGGATATGTTTTTAATAAGATCAAGATATCAAGCATTAAGCGTTCATTTTGCACTGAATTTATTTCCCTGTGTCCTGTCGAGTGAATAATTGACTTTCTACAGCTGTCAGGAGCAAATTAGAGAAAGAAAAAGTAGCATCACAAAGCAGTATCAACATTGTAACGAAGAGAAAAATGCAGTTAGAACACATCTATACATTGAGCAGACAGGTCCCATTATCTGTACTTGGTTTAAATGGTTTACAGTCTTGAAGGAGAAGGTACTGCCTTATCCTGTTGTTTTGTCCTCCAACTGAGAGCTAAAATTGCTTAAATTAGCTTATTATTTGCTTGACTGGGAAAATATGTTTGTTTTGTGTGTATGAGTGTTTTTTTTCTTCGTTTTAATAGAGTCTGGTAGAGTTATCCCAAGAACTGTTATGCCTGTGAGATTACAAACCTTGGGGTCCCAGAAACCCCAGGGTGCACAGAGAGTGTCTTTGTGTGACTGAATGTAACTGCAAAAACAGCCGTGTTCTCGTTTGAGTCGCTGGATTTGTGTTTGTGTGTACAGTTGTGACTGATGTTTTACCTGGATGCGTGCGTGTGTGTTTGTACATGTGGGTGGGTTGAAACAACAGGAGGGCGCATGAGGGTCAGGACAGCAGGCAGTCTTTGCTTTAATGAATTATATTGATTTTGCTAGCAGCATTCAAAACCTGCCTGCTGCAACATTATCAAGTGAAGGGTGTATAAAATTGCGGTTTTTAACTAAGACATTTTTTTGCCCTGTAACCTACTATTTCAAGTGCAAGCGCAGAGCAACGTTTTATTGAGGACATTGATCATCTTAGGGTCTTGGTATTTTGAGTTTGACATTAGTAGCCTATTGATTCAATACTCAAAGCCAACATAAATTAACAATGTGGTTTATTATTACTTGCAGGCAGTACCCATGTTTTTGTCATTTTAAAATGTGTTCTAATAGGACTTTTCGCCATTTAATGTGGTGGCATGGCACGGAAACTACACACCGTACAAATACAATCTGGAGAACTTCATGGCCATCAACTGTGTAGCGTTTGATCACGCAGTGAGTAGCCTAATTTGCTTTATTTGACGTCTTAAAGGGATAGTTCACCCAAAAAAAAAAAAAAATTGGCATCACACCGATGTGATGCCACTCGTGCCGAGTTCACACTGCACGATTTTTAAAGTAGTCGGGTCACTGTTCTTTTCACACTGCGTGACTATCTGGGGTAACATTCAGTTGCTGGTGTGCGCACACTTCACGATGGATCGGCGACAGGAGGTTTCACATGACTTTACAAAAGAAAGAATCGCCGACAACTTCTGTCTGGTCCGCAAACTACTTTTCACAACCAAACACAAAATAACGCAAGATCACGCGTGCGAAATTGTTATTAAAAAAATATTGCCTGAAAGAAGATTGAGATCAAAATTGTCCGCGTTGATTTGCAGCGAAAAGGAGAAAAAGAAAAACAGCTTAGCTATGCAGGAGGAAATGGTTGGGGACTCACGGGGAGCAAGGATTGTATGTTCTGCAAAGAGAGTTGGGGGTGGGTAAATAAATAATTTTGCAATTTGCTGCTGGTCAAGCAAATGTTTGTGCTTTGTTTCTGTTCGATATATAATTGTAAATGTCTCTATCTGGTCTATAACTCCTCCCCGAACATCCCGCTGTCCTTGCTCTCTCATTGGCTGCAGCAGGTCATCATCACCGATGTATAGTTTTCAGTCAAAACACTTTCACACAGCAGGATTTTGAATCGCCGACATTTCCAGATATTTAGCATGCCAAATATCTCACTCGGCGATTCTCTCAGAATCGAGTCTTTGATAATTCACACTGCGTGATTGTCACTCGTGTGAACGAGCACCGATTTGCCTATGATTTCGGGCATTTGTCGGCGATCGACCATAACCTGTCGGCAAGCGAAAATCGGGCCTAAAATCGTTCCGTGTGAACTCGGCATTAGGCTACCCATCCTCATGTTCTTCCAAACCTATACGTTTCTTTCTTCTGTTGAACAAAAATAAGATATTTTAAAGAATGTTGGTAACCAGACAGTTGACGGTAGCTAGCCACTGACTTCATAGTAGTAACGTTAGGGGGGAAAAATACTATGAAAGTCAATGACTACCGTCAACTGCTTGATTACAAGCATTCTTTAAATCTGTTTGTGATATAAACACAAACAATAAAAAAATAAACTCATACAGGTTTAGAACAACATGAGGGAGAGTAAGTGATGACATTTTCAAAATCAACACATTTGCACTCTCAATCAAATTACCTGACTTTTTATTCCCAGGATCCCTCGATTTTCACTGTTTTGACAGCCAAGTCCACTCGCCCAGGTGTGGCCATAGCAGATTTTGTGATCTTTCCCCCTCGCTGGGGTGTAGCTGACCGTACCTTTCGGCCTCCCTACTACCATAGTAAGTCACCACTGTTGAACACGTACTTGTATTGAAACCAAGTGAAGTTTTAAGCGGTTTATGAGCGCCCTCTATCTGTGCTAAAAGGGAACTGCATGAGCGAGTTTATGGGATTAATCAAAGGCCACTATGAAGCAAAGGAAGAGGGTTTCCAGCCTGGAGGAGCCAGTCTCCACAGCATAATGACTCCACATGGCCCTGATGTCGACTGTTTTGAGAAGAACAGCACAGCTCTTCTTAAACCAGAGCGAGTTGCTGAGGGCACTATGGTAATGTTTAGATGTTTTGTTTTATAATACATCATGTAAAAGGCCAGATCAGGTTTTAAACAATGCTGTATCCAACAGGCATTCATGTTTGAGTCATCCTTCAGCATTGCTGTGACCAAGTGGGGATTGGACACCTGTCACCGTCTGGATAAGAACTACTATAAATGCTGGGAGACATTAAAGAGTCACTTCAATCCAAACTGGAAACCCAGCAACAAATAAAACATGACGTAGATGGTTTAAACTCGAGAGAATGTCAGTCATCATAATATTTGATTTGCCTGACATGTCGATCAGTGGTTCACAATGGTTTTATCACTACATAAAAGAGGTTTAGTTAACCAGAGATTTCACAATAAAACCTGCTATTGGAATATAACCAATAAAACCAAATTAAATGACAGAAATACAGTGTGATTTCTTATTATTTGTCAATAACAGTGATAAAACAAGTTTCAACAATAAAGCATTTTATTTAGTATATAATTACAAGTACTATTTATTATAATAAACAGTGAAATCAGAAAATTATTTTAGGATGACAGCTTATAGGGGCGCTCATAGGTCCCTGCCTTTATCTTGGTCTCCCTTTTGTCCTGAAAAGATAGGAGAAAAAAAAAAACATTATAAACGTTGTAATTGTCAATAAGCATACAGGATAGGAAGAGAATTCATACAATGATGTGTATTTCAACTCACCCTGTCTGTCTTAAAGACAAAGTACAAGACGAAGAGAGGTAAAACTCCAAACAAGCCACCTATCAATGATGTTTTAGCAGTTGGTCTAAAGTTGGGATAGACGTTTTTGCCGCGCGCATGTATCCACCTAGTAAGAGCAGGATCCTCCTACGAATAAAAACACATGGAAGTTTATCACCTGATCTCAAACACGTCAGGTTACCTGCGGTTTGCTGAACGTTTCAATAATGCAGTTGTCAGTATTTTAAGTAATACCTTGGCAAACAACACACTTAGGATGATGTATATGAATATGATCGTTCTACATAAAGACAAGTGAAACTTGAGGACCAAAACAAGCTGACAGCAATAATAACTGCTAGCCAGGGAGCATTGAAGGTCACTCACTTAGGGTTCAATATTAAAAAATCTATGCTACTAAAACAGGAATGTGTACTAAATAAATATTTATAATAACATTATAAAATGATACGTTTGTTACAATATGCAGTCAAAGCGATTTATAGATTCATTGTAACCGTTTTACTCCATGCTAATGTTTGCAGACTGCTCTTTGGTTCGTCTTACAATAAGCTCTTGCCGATGAGGATTGTTTAGCTGCAACAGATACTGCCTCTTCAGTCGTGACCGCAGAGCCGCTCTAGCCTCCTCAGACCGCCGGTACTCAGGTGAAAGATTGAAATATTCGGCTGGATCTAATGTTTTTGGCCGTGTAGCCAAAGGAGCCTCTTTGTAGTTCGCCATGACTGCGACCGGCGAACAACACGCCCAGACAAAAAAGGAAAAATCTGATTGGCTGTTCACGAGTCTCGCGGTATTTCAGAATATCTCGCTGGTACGGGTTGTAAAAAAGGTTCTTATGGTACATTTATATAGGCTACTATTATAGTTTTTTGTTAATGTTTTTAGTTAGATTTTTACATTTTCTGTTTTTATTTGAGTAATTTGATTGTTTTTGTAATCAGCTTCTAATATCTATATCGTTTATTTAGTTTGAGTTATTTTAGTATTTAAACGAAATGTTTCCTTGGCATCTAACGTTAGCATTTTTTTGGTATAATTTTCTCTCACGTATTTTTAAAAATGGGTTTAGTTAACGATAATAACCCTGGTGTAACAGTAAAAACTATTTTTTTAGAGAAAATTCTTAATAGCCTACATTAAAAAAAAAAAATTTGACCAATCGAAAAAGGACTCCATAAGTGTTCATGCCTGTTTTATTTGTTCAAATTAATAAAGCAAATGAGAATATTACAAGAGTTGCATGACAAGATGTGATCCAGATGTTGGTCCTCCTCTGGACTGTCATCCTGACCGATTGGAGGAATCTTACAAATATCATGCACAGACACGAGCAAAGTCCCTCTGGTCACTCTCTGACAGCTCGTCTACAGGGAGAAAAGGAGAAGCGTGGATACTCACTTTGACCAGCAGAGGGAGCTGCAATGCAACAAAGAGCAGAATGAGGGCAAACCTACGAGTCTTACCTTTAACTATGCAGCATTTGCTGGTACCCAAATTCATCCATTCATTGATATACCTGAGAGACACGAAAATATTATTTTTAAATGGGATATTAATAACAATGTAAAAAACGATATTTTCACAATTTATAGTTACCCCACATCTATTTTGCATAAAATCTAGAATGATAATCTTAATTACTCATCAAAATCAAGAGCATCGGTCCATGCGAGCAGTTCATCCACTTCCTGCTCTAAAACTGAATCTGGTCCATTTTGTTGGAGTATATCCATCATTCTTTGTGTGGATTTGTGCACCAGCAGAGCTGTTTCGCTGTGTTCTGTACGAGCATGCAGAAGACCCTCAGCATACCTGTGCACAGGGTCTGTGCTTATAATTATGCTGTCATTCATATCTTATGCATTTCCATTTTTCTGTAATTATTATTAATACCCATTACAAACAAAGTTACTTTAAGTACACATACATTTTCCTCATCCATTCAATTTTTCGAATCTTTTTTTTTCTCGCAACATCTTGTCGCCGACGGATTTTACTGTGTTGGAATTCAATCTTCTTGTCATTGGTATCTTGAGTTATTGGGTCTTCAAACATGGATATCTTTAATCATAAATGCAATAATAGACATACAATGCTCAGTCATGGAACAACACTTGTATTTTTTGTAAGGCTTGTATTTTAAAGATAAAACTTAAAACCAAATGGTTGCATGGTCCAGAGTTTGGAATAATTAAAATTTCAGTGTTTTTGAAAGAGATCTCTTATGCTCACCCAGGCTGCATTTATTTGATCAAACATAGGCCAACAGTAAAAACAGCAATTTTGTGAAATATGATTACAATTTAAAATAACTGTTTTCTAATATATATTTTCAATGTAATTTTAAACAGAAATTTCAGCAGTCATTCATTACTCCAGTCTTCAGTGTCACATGATTTAATGCTCAATAAATATTTCTGATTATTAATAATGTTGAATTTTTTTTGCTGCTTAATATTTTTGTAAAAACTGTTGTAATAAGACTTAAAAAGTTTGTATTTTATAGATTTAAAAAGTTTGTATTTTATAGAAATATAAAACATTTTATATATATTTTTTTATATTTATACTTTCTATTCATCAACAAATCCAGAAATAATGTGACACTGAAGACTAATATATATAGTTTTAATATATCTGTTCTTTTTAACTTTCTATTCATCAAAAAAATCCTGGTATGTTTTGTTTATTGTCTTGCATTGGTATACAAATGGTAAAATGAAAGTATATGACTTTATTTATTACCTTGCCAGACAAGATCCTCCAGCCATTGTTCTCCACCCGCTGGTACCACCCAGAGTGATCATCCTCATCACAGATCGTCCGTCGGCCATTATGGATCTGGCTTGGAGCTGGTTTCTTTTGCTGCGTGTAATCTTTAGGACTGCAGGCACACATGTCCACTATGGGTGCACGAGTGTATACTTTAAAGTAGATGTTTGGAGGATAGGTTGGCTGGAATTTTATAAGCGTTAGTAAGTTATTTGCAGTTTGTTGTAACTTGACTGTTTACTGTTTAGCTTCCCAAAAATGTAACCTTCTAGGGCAGAAAACAACCACACATAACAGCATGTTTTTGAGTACAAATAACCTTATGGTGGAAATATGAATAACATCAGCACTCACCCCACCCAGTCTAAATCGAATAAGGGCCCCTGAAGCAGCATCCAGAATATTAGCCTACAACAAAGCATCATGCACATGATTTTGAAAAAAGAGAAGAAACATCTGAATTAAACTTGCATTGTACCATAAACTTACCTCTGCAGGGTTAATAAATCTAAGGAGGAGACGTGGATCCCCTTGATTATGGAAGCTCACTAGTTTCTTGAGGTGCTTGAAAACAGCAGTATCCTACACATGACAGGCACAGTATGCACTCATTTTATTTGGGCATTCAATCATATGTAACCATGCTGGAGAAACTGTAACACAAAAGTTGACTGTGATCACTAACAACATGTGTCCTCCATGCTCGCTGGATGATCCTGGCTGCTCGGCTGAAAACTGTTTCCAGCTGTGGGACAAGAATGACATTAGTCTCTGATGTAGTTTCCCCAGCTGGAGATGTTTGGTGATGCCTAAAGGGGGGAAGAATGATTGACAGATTTTTTATCGCTTCACTCATTTAGAAATTAGTCGGTTTTGCTGCAGTATTAATACCTGTCAAAAATGTTTGTGTGTTCAGTCATTTTCTTGCTCATACTATCATAAAAAAGAGAAAGAAAAAAATATTTATTGAAATGTTAACATGGATTTACATTTAAATGAACCAAACTAAAGGAGCACATAATTCTGCATAAATTATGCTATTTAACTGTTCATCTGAGGCTAAAGCTCAGCACCCTGATTAAGCCTTTCCCATGTCAAGGAATGGGAAACTGGTTTATTCAGATAGGATTATAAGGATCTGGATTATTACATGACTCCACACAGATACTCAATTAACAGTTGCTTCTAATAAAACACTTTTATTCAGCCCACAAATACTACTTACTTGATCTCTGGAGTCCTATTCATCTTCAATAAGCAGATTATATTTTCAAATATAGCATACTCGAATGAAAAGGTTTAATGGATAGAAGGTGCCTAGGCAATGTAAGTAATTAGGCCTGTAATGTAAATAACACGATTTTTTCCCGGCCCTTGTGCAAATCCATCATGCGAACATCGAAAAGTAAAGAGTAAAGTAATTGTGAGTTTTCACAATGGTGCAGACCAGTTGAAGTGAAAACCGTAGTGAGAGCTAAAACTACAACCAAAGAGTAAGCTAAACAATAAGAGAGTTAAAACAAAATGAAAATACTGCTAGCTGGAAGTGTGACTGCACGCCTACAAGAGCCGTTACCAGAGCAACGTGAAAACACAATGCTAGAAAATGACACGAGATTTCTATGACAGTTTAAACTAAGTCTTTTTGAATTATTAATAAGGAAAACTACGTGTGAACTATGTGTTCTTCTATTTAAACCATTGATTTCAACATGAAAATAGTGCAGGAGATTTAGAATCATCTCAGTGACGCGAATCTTGAATACGTTACCAAAAAAGATTCGTTCAGGCAGTGGGCCGTTCAGCAGCTTACTTACTCGAGTTGGTGGCGAGAACAAGTGTCTTATGAATGAGTAACTGATTTTTTGTAAGAAAGAAAAAAAGAAGAAGAAGAAAAATTCCAAGTAGGCTATAGATTCATTCGTGTTTGTACGTTCATTCTATTAAATGTTCCACTTCCTTCACAGTCCGCCTTTGACTTCTATGCTCGCGCTGTTTCAAATGGCCAAATTAGGTGTATCAGTATCACTCATTACCGTTCACTGTGCAATAAAATTTAATCATGTTTTTTTTTTCACCCCAAAATTAAAATTCTGTCATCCTTTACCCAACCTTTCTTCCACCCTTACATCATTTACTCAAGTTGTTCCAAGCCCATATGAGATTATTTCGTCTGTTGAACACAAAAGGAGATATTTTGAAGAATGTTGGTAACCTACCAGACAGTTGAGGCAGCCATTGACTTCCATAGTATTTTTTCCTACTATGGAAGTCAATGGCTACTGCTGCCTGGTTACCAACAATATTCTAAATGTCTTCCTTTTTGTTCAACAGAACAAAGAAACTCATACGTACAGGTTTTGAACAACTTGTGGTTGAGTAAATTATGCCAAAATTTTCATTTCAACTATGCCTTCAGGGATGGTAGGTTGTGACATGACACAACAGAGTAAGGTTGTTTTAATGAGCTGTAATTAAGACGTTTCTGTGTTATTATATATTTTTATGTTTACTGAGATAAAAACGGAATGTACTTGCTAATCAAAGTGTTAAAAGATTAGCTTAGCATTTTAACTTTGCAGACAAAATTAGTCATTTACAATTTATATTTTATTTTACATAGTTAAATTTTCACAAGTGATCAGTATTACATAGCACAGCAATAATAACCAATGTAGTCAATATAGTACATTTTCATAAATATCACAATATTGTTATTAATGATGACATTCAAAAAACAATCTCACAAAAAAAGAAACATACATGTATTAGCTATATATACAGCCTTTAGTAGTACTGTGTTGTAATCAGTGCTGCAATTGTCTTATGGAAGTCCCTAAGGCTCTAGGGGAGAATTTATTCCCAAACCCCCTGCCCTGCATAATAAATTACAATAAATGAACCATTAAGATTCCACTGCCAAAGCTAAGTATGCACACAAACAGTTATAATTACATTATACAGCAAAAGTTGTTCTAGTGGTCTTTTGAAAAGTTTGTGAGGTCACTTTAAATCTCAAATTAATGGAATAATTAATTAATGGATTTTGCATATGCCAGAGTCAACCACTGTTTTTCAATAACATTTACTTTTAACAATAACATTATGTAACGTCATAATCTGGATAGAGTTTGTCATAACTGAGGTGGAATCATGATGGCACCCCAATGTTGTAGGGGCGACTATTTTTCTATTCTGTTTTCTGACTCTTTTATGAGTCTGTATGAGTTAAAAAAAACCATTCAAACACATTAAACAGTTGTGGTTCAGCTACTAAGTTGACAGTTACTGACTATAGACTGTCTGTCAGTAAAAGTATGTATTGTGACTGACAAGCTGTGCTTTTAAATACAGTGAATGAAACAGGAGGCAGCCCTCAACAAAAGGAAAGATGTAAGAACTCACCATTTCAGAGCCTCAAGATCCAGAAAATATCAAAGACTAATTGGAACAACAGTGCATTGTTCTGTATTGTAAATACATTCATAATTAGATCAAAGATGGTTATCCTCAAGCACTATAGAATAAAAAAAGCCCATAGTATTTACTGTATAAAAAATGTTCTGATAAATGACATGTTCTCATAATTCTAATATAATTTTAATTCCTTCTATTAATATATGTCCTGATTCCTAATTGTTTTTACAATTTAGATCTGTTGGTTTAACAGAGGCCTAATTTTGCTGCAGCTTTTCCATGCACAGAAAAAAAAATTCAATGTCCAGTACATGTAAACACATCAACAACATGGAATTGAACATCATTTTCTCCTCTAAAGTTCTGTTTCTACCTCATCATCACCACTGTCAACATAGTATTCATCATCGGTTGTGGTGTCAGAACCAGACTCCTCAAAAACAGGCAAGCTGGTTGTGTAGCTCCTAGATGGCAGGATACTCCGAGAAGGAGACAGACTTTCTGGAGTTGTCCTCATGATGGAAGACATAGCAGGAGCCTGGGATATCCGGCGAGGTGAAGAGGACGAAGTTGGTGATGGAGGGGGGGTTGGGTCAGCATCATCATGATCAAGATGATCATCTGTATATCCAGGTTGAGACTGTTTACCACTGACAGATCTAGGCTCATAGCTTGGGGAATAGCTACTAACTGGAGAGTCAACTATTGAATAATTCTCCTTTGGCACAAAGTCATCCAAACTTGAGAGGTCGCTAACGCTGCTTGTTGATATTCGTCCAGGGCCTGATGGGCGGCTTGAAACTACATTGCTGACTGAGAAAGATCGCCCATTGTGCAGACCATACTTTAAGTCTGCACACGACAAGGACAATCGAGACCTCACAAGGTTTTTCTGCTCTGAACTCTTGGCGGAGCTCAGTGGAGAGAAGTCATCAGACTCACAAAGCGAATTAGTTTTTTTGCTCACTGGACTATAAAACACATTGTCATTCTGAATGTCTTCTGAATCAAAATCAAACAAATAAAAGGGTGATTGGGGACTGATGGAGGATGTTCTGTAATGTGGCAAGGTGGCAGAACGGGTCATACCTTGGGCCTTTAGCCTGTTCGGACTAAAGCTCCTGCTATTAGAGCAGTTTCCATTTTCATCGTTATGCCTCTTTTGCTGATTAACATTTAATTTATTCTCAGATGATTTTTTTAATGTTAAGGGTGACAAGGACCCAAAAGTGGCAAAATATGCTTGATCAGTGCTCAAAGATGAGTCGGGGGCCTCCCACGTGTACCCAGAACTACTTTGTTCAGTTGTAGACCTGTTTTGCCAATCCATATTTAATGTATTCTCATATTTATTTAATGTTAGTGGTGACAAGGAACCCAAAGAGTCTTTATTGGTTGTTAAAGAAGAGTTAGAGAGCCCCCTTTGGCTTCCAGAACATGTTTTCTCCTCTGTCTTGGATTTTTCAAAAGTCTCAGGGTCTAAGTGTTGCTGGGTGGGGGGCTTGTTCTTTTTCGTGATTGTGTCAAGTGCGCCGTCTGAACGTTTGACACCAAATGTCAGTTTTAAGCGATTTAATATCTGGTCTACTCTGCTGCTTGTTCTAAACACTGGCGAATGTCTTTTGGTTTTTAAATACTGGGGACTAACAACCTCTTTGTCTGGCAAAGACGCAGAAGAGAGGGCATTGTCTTTCTTAACTCGTGAAGCAAAGAGGCCTTTCTTTGAATTGGGACTCTGCATTTCCTGCAATCTCTCATGCATATGCACAGCTGTAGTCTCTTTCTCAGCTGTAAGTGGAGTCTCACTTTTTACTGTGAGCTTATTCAGTAGTAAATACTTCTCTTTCTCTCTCTGTCTTTGCTTGGGGTAAGCAGTACCCTTATCAAGATGAAGTGCCATCAAGCCATGTTCCTGATGAGGGAAGTTGTTCGAGCCTGTGTTGGACTGCCTTGGGTGTAGGCTTATATTTGCGCTTTGGCTTTCCATGACAAAACTTGTATCTGGTGCAGGTTGTGGGAGGCATGGCTGGGCAGGTCTGTGGTTGTCTAGGGTGCTTGTATAAGCTTGAACAGCTGTCCTATGTTCTATGTTAGGTGAAGCTAATTGTTCCTTTGGTCTCCTTGTTATCCTTGTGTATGTGGATAGTGAAGAGCTTGGGTCATCTTTTATAAGGTCAGCGTGAGTGGTTACAATATCATAAGATGTAGATCTGGTATGTGTTTTAGATGCAGGTGGAGAGGACAGTCCTTGTAAAGTGTTGTTGAGTGCAGGTCTTGAGGAGATGAGGCTAGAATATGGAGAAGTGCTGAGACGAGGTGTTGATCCTCTTCCAAAATCAGGAGGCAGAGATTGAGCTGGGGCTATATGAGAGCTGGAACCATAAGAATTTTGTAATGCAAATGGGTTGTCGAATGAAAATCTTGAGGGAAATGTCTTCTGGTCACCCTGCAGTGTTTCGCCTCCATCTTGCATAGGAGGCAAAGTTTTAGCTCTCTGTAAGGGGGGAGAATGGGTGGAAGGGAAGGGAGTGAATACAGCCGGGCTGGACTCTCGAAGGTATGAATAGATGCTTGGTACTCTGACACTTCTGAGAGGTCTGCTTGGAGAAAGAGGGCTCGAAAGATCCATTGAGCTTTGACTTGACTGAGAATGTTTCTTAGAGTCCAGATATATCTGTCCCACAGTTGTTGGGCTTATTCCATCTACAGAAGAGTCTTTCCTGGGTGAGTAGTTAAGCCTGTCTGTGAAGGTGCTTGTGGCCGAAGAATTGCTGGCCATTATATTTTGTGTGCTTTGTGATTTTAAATTTTGAACATTAAAGCTGGATTGTTGAACATTAAAATTAGTTGAATCTTTGGGAGAAATTGTGGTGTGTGGAGTTATTTTTTGTTTGGTAATATTGAAGGTTTGCAGGCTGGTGTTGTTAACACTACTTTGTTCCACGGGATCAATGTCCTCTGTACTAGAATATTCCCTCAAAAGAACTAAATAAGAACTCTGTTGAGTTTTGAGAACCCCAATTTGTCCCGTTCTGGTCGTGGATTTTGGGAAATGTTCCTCCTCTGCTCTGGCAACGGAAGTTTCTAGTCTCCTTGAGATTTCTGTCTCTGGTTTGTTTTGTAACAGTGGTGCCCTTAACGGCACTCTACTCTTATTTCTAGGTGACAAAGGGAATTGACTGACTGGTATTTCCTCTGTTCTTGTAGGAGTGTCTGGGTATTTGCCGGTTTTGTCCTCAGTGGTAACAGAATGGGCAAACGATTGAGTTTTCAAAACAATTCTGCTAGGCAATGTAAGGGTTCTGACAGACCTAGTTATCGGAGTCTGCGTTTGTGTGGGCTCATCACTGGAGCTTCTCAAATGTGTCCTCCTTAAAGAGAGAAGTAGGCTGCTTGTTGTTGGCTTGGAGCTCAATGATTTGAAAGGCCCATGTTCATCTCCAGTTTTGGATATTCTGTACCCTGAATGGGCTGAATTTGGTCCCTGACAAGTGTCAAGAGGTGTGGAAAAAGGATATAATTCTGTATTGTTGTACATCGTGCCCACAGAGGATGATTTTAAAATGGGTCTCTTTGGCTGTACTGTGGTTGTGACATTCGGGGAATTGTTCTCTTTTTGCCAGTCAGGAGAGGTAAAGCTGGTTCCAGCAGTTAACTGCATTTCATTGTCATTGGCCAACACGTGTTCAGATGGTTGCCTCTGGGAAGGTAAAAAAAGTTGTTGCTGCCAATCCTGGCGAAATAAGCTAGATTGGTTGATATTCTGTCCACAATCTTGGGGTACGTACTCAACTTCATTGCTGCCTTGCTTGGGTCTTCGAAGACGACTACTCCAAGGTGGAGCAAGAACTGAGGCCAGGGCAGAAGTCAACATAGCTGATGAAGGATTATAAAGACTAGGTTCTGGATCAGGAGTATTTTCAGAATCAAGTGCAGTAAAAGAGGCTAATGACAAGACCTGGTTTAGCACTTCTGCATGGCATGCAAAAAATTGGGAATCAGTGCTTGCTTTTAGTCCACTGTCCACGACAATGGAGGTCAGATTACTGTGGTACAGTGGAGTTGTTGGGGCATTCTCTCTACAGTCGTTGGCTCCAAAATCCTTGTTGACTTCTTTTTGTACCTCACAAACAGGTTGAGTAGAATGTCTTTGGGAGTCGTGGATTATTTGAGTTTGCTCATGAAGGCCTATGTTGTGTTGTATTCCTTTATTTTGTCCCTGCTTAGGTGTGTTATGTACATGTTGATGCAGAGTGTTAAAGTGGTCTTCATCAAAGGTTGCTTTTGGCCAATCCCCATCCTTAAATAATTCACCAGTTGATTTGCCACATTGCTCTGTTGGTGAAAACACGTCCCTTAGCTGTCAGAACAAGCATTAAAGGTTTTGATTAGTGCCAAAATTAGAACAAAACATAGGCTATAATTCAAGCACAGTAGCATTTGCACTTTTTACACTACTAAATTGCATTTCAGACTTCCTTGGGTAAATTGTAAGAAATACTTCTCACATACATTTGAACTATTTGAACAAATCGCCACTCCCATTCCATAACTCTTTAAACAGACAGATCAACTTCACAGTTGAGCTTTACATTCCACTGAAAAATACTCTGGATGATAAAACTGCAAACATGACATGGCCCAGTAAAGCAGAAATATATTCAAAGGGCAGTACAAAAAAGGAAGTTTATTATATTTAAGCAAAATATGATTGAGCAGCAAGTCATAGATAAAATATTCTCTTACTAAAAATATAATTCTCATATGTCTGCATCTTAGTTTGGATGCTTACCTCTGTTTTGTGTTGATTAGCTGTGTTCTTTACCACTTCAAGTGTGCTGTAACTGTCAAATTGTGAAAATATTTTTTAATAAGCAAATGATTTTAGCAAACATTGAAAAGGTAGGTAGATTGAAACAAACCTCCATGCTACTTTTTTTATTTTTATTACAGAAATTCATAAAGATATGTTCCATCGGGCAGATAAACAAAGAGGAAAAACTATGACGAAAACAAATCACTTGTCCAATTGAATGTTTTTCATGTTATTCTTACTCCCTAAAAGCTTTTTCTACTTCAATGTCTTCAATGTAACACATTGCAGGGAAACAAGATCAACAACATTCCATCCTTTCTCTCACTTAAAGCATTATGGGGTAAACAATTCATTGGCCAGACATGAAGGGAGGGGTCCATGGTTAAACTGTTTTATAATTAGCACAGAGTGTTTCACACACATAAATCAGATACATACACACTCACTCACAAAAAACCCTGTTTTAAAGAAGAGAGAGCAGTGATGATGTCCTACTTTTTAAAATAATATACTGTAATACTGCACAATAAATGACAATTTACTGTTTCCAAGATAAAGGTGTAAGCACTTTATTTGAACACACCTAGATACGGTACAGCCAAACAGTAAACCTTTGGCGATACACTTTCATGCTATCATCCATGGTCATTAAATTATGACTTATTGCTATATAAGGACTATTACTGCCAGTCATAGGTTGAAAGGGCGTTTGCTGTTCTGGCTCGACATAGAATGCAAAGTCCTATGGCATAATTTACATGACAGAATATATTATTATATGCAATATTTTTAATTGTTATCTCTGTTATGGCCGATAACTGATATATGGCTGCATAAAATGCAATACAATTTAGTATAAAAATATTGAAAATAAAACACTAAAATCAATAGTTTTAAATTATACAAGTCATCACAATATAATGTACACTAGGAAAACTGGATATTCATTTTGAGAATTGTTAAAAGATTACATTGAACAGTGTTATTAAATGATCTAATATATAATACCGATATTGCACATCTCTTTTTAAATCTCTTAATATCTCTCTTTTTTTTTTAAATAAAGAAATAAAAAAGTCACACTCACAGATTAGTCGTGGCTTGTAACGTTTTTTCCTCTGCTATGTCTTTTTTGGATCTTCTGATGGGAAGTCTGATAGAGATGGTGGAAGTGAATCTGTCAGATTCCGTCTGTTCCTCAGATGTCCTACCGGAGTCTTTCTTAGATCTGAGCAGTATTATCTGCTTGATCTGCAAATCTGATCAGCGACAACCCCAAATGAAGAGAAGCAATACAAATAACAGCATGATAATAATATCACATGTATAATCTGGGCATATAAACTCACTTTTGCTGCTTTTCTGCAGGCCTGTTAATGGCAATGCTGGTGAAGATGCAGTAGTTCTTGTTTCTAAATCCTTCTTGTTGTGGATGTGTTGAGCTGATGGTCCAGGATGTAACTTCTCTTGTTCACTTTTATTCTGAAAACTAATCAAGCTTTGGCATTATAATACTGCTACAACATTACCTACAGAGATCTGGAGACTGCTTCTCTTAACAGACACATGAAATCCACATGTCTGCAACTGCAACTACTAGGCTAAGTGAAAACATTTCAAGGTTCACTCCCTTCAGAAAAAATTATTCACAGGAACACCCACAGATATTTTCTTAGTATATTGACACATGACGCAAACAGAGAAATTTCATGATTTGTTTTGTGCATGTGCAACTCTACATGTGCAAAGAAAATGATTAGTTGCTTAGTTTAAAAAAAAAAAGAAGATAATTAGACAATATAGGTGTAACGAATTACATAAGAGCTAAAGTATTACCATAAACATGGTGAGACATGTTCAGCAAAAGATTAATACAAGTGGAAACTCATTAGATGTTATGAGGCGTGTTTGAAATCATCTGAAACAATTAAACTAAGAGGAAGTCAAGCAAACATGTTGGTAGATATTTCAAGCTTAAATCCTTGATAATTTAATGAGGCATTTTTGATGTGTGCAAGCAACAGCAGGTATTATATAACCTTGAGTGGTGCCAGACAAGAGATCAATGCTTGAATCAGTGCTCAATCCATTGGGATCTTGTTATAATTTTTTGATTGTAAGAGCATTAATTACTGGAGGTAAAACTATGACGGATACACTTTACTTTAAGTAATCTAATATTTACGCAGGCTCTTCTACCTACGTAAGAACTTCAACCTGTCCGCTTAAACGACTTCCATAATGCTATCTGTGTAGGATGATAAGAGTCCGTTTAAGAGAGAGAGGGAAAGTAGTCGCCTAAGTTATTTGTGTGAGAGAAACAGAAAAAGAACGTATTCTCACAGCGCAAGTAAAAACTTTGTAAGTTAGCCTACCGTGATTTGTCAGTGTGTGCGTAAAATCTCTCCTGATTTGGGAGAACGCAAGTCACGCTGGCTTTCACTCCGCTTTGACAACTTGACTGCTGCAAATTCAGATCATGCGTTGACATTATAGGCTGATTGTATCTGGCTCGTCTTGTTTGGTTACCTCCCTTTATGCCCGTCGGGCATCAGCTGTACCCTTCAGTGCCCTCAGAGGCGGCATTCCAACGGAGAAAAGCGAGCGAGTTATGGTAGACCAATCATAGTGACAACCGTATGAACACAACAGACGCCGCCCGTCGAATGTTTCTTTCCCGCCGACGGCGCCGAGGCATGTGTTATCGAGAGCAGAGTCGCGGAAGTGAGCATGTGTTTTAGCAAATAAACTCCGTACTTTGAATTGTCAAGTTTATTACGGGACATATGAAGACAGTGATAAGCATCGACAACTTGGCATATCGTTGGGAATTGATTTATTATTTTCCTGAATCATGCGAACTTGGATTTGGATTTTGGACTTCTAGCTAAGCGACAAGAGTTTCGTTTCAAAACTATTTTAATAAAAAAAAATACATAAAACGTGTTATCTAAGATGGCAGATAAACACCATAGCCAGAACTGAACAATATTACGAATGTTTTTCCACCATTGTCCGATAGGTGGTCTAAACAATGGTGCATGTCATTTTAGAGATTCGATTCTTTAGAACAGTTCGTTTTAAAGAACCGGTTAAAATGATTCAGTGATTCATTTACGTAATATAGCGCAAGTACGTGGTCACTGCTGCTGGCTGGCTGGCATACGTTGCATGCATGCTTTCAAACGTTTTAATAAATTAATATATATGTAGACACATATACTAGTTAATAGAACATAAATTTAGCTTAATTTGTATTTAGTTAGCCACGACAATAGCCTACTTAATTTTCATCACTGAACACACTTTTCATTTGGCAATTTTATTCTGTAATTTTATTAGTCTAACATTTCTGTTAGGATGATATTAAAGCAACTTACTTTTCGCCCTAGTCAAATCAGAAGTTCGGTCCAAATGCTCTTAATGTTAGTCTGCTTATCTGTTAAAAAAAATGCCTAAGATGCGTAGCCTAATCTCGGTTTATCTTTGAACTTCAGTTCAATGAGTCAGTGAGATGTTGACTCGCGAACGGCTCGGACTGATTCGTGGACCCACTCGCTCAGGCGTTTTAGGGAAAATATCTGACTGAGAAACATTCGCTCATGAATCGGACAATAGCACTCAAACAACAGTGATGTAAACAAATGTGTTTGCAACTGGGATCCTACCTCTTATTAAACATTGTGAGGGGAAAATAATACTTATAAATCTCATGACCTATAGCCTACTCTCAGCATTAGACTGAAAATTTCTGTAAACAAAATAAATGTTAATTTCCCTTAATCACTTTGTCAAAGTGCAGCTGAGGTTTACTGAGGCAAAATAAGTGGTAAATAAAATGGAAAGGAAAATCAATCTTAATTAAGATTTTTTTTTTTTTTTTTTGGTCAGTAATCAAGAATGATTGTTGGTCAGGCATTCTGCCTCTTCGGAAAAGATTGATTGGCCGAGAGCAGTATTCCTAATTATTTTATGCAGAAATAGCCTACTAGAGGTCGTCAATTAGACTCATTAGCCCCACTGGCTAAAGGCAAGAAGCCGGATTGCATTGTTGCATTGCTTAAGGGTGTGCTGTGCAGATACACATACACAATAAACATGGATAAAATAATTGTGATGAACCACTCATCTGTGTGTTTGGAGGGAGGGGGGGAAAGTGTTTTATAAAGATTTTACGTGTATTTCCAGACAAAGGCAAAATAGTCAGCCACCGCGATTATAAATCTTGTCATGGAGTGATGCTTATCTCGATCCATTATAGAAATGCAATTTAATTCTGTAATAAAATCTAAACAGTTTTAATTAACTCTGCTGATTAAAACAGAAACCAATATAGTGCATAAGGGCATAACTTGTATGACAAATTCATCTTTAGCCTAATGTCTTTCAGGCTTTTGGCACAAGCTCAGTTTGATCATGGTGCTGGTTGTAGTAGTCCGTTAGCTGAAGGGAGTTACATATTTCATGGATAGCTTGTCATCTGCTGTATAAATCAACTGCCAGTGCTGGAAAATGCATTATCTCCTGGAGAGATTATGACAAGGCCAATTCATAACTGTGAATTGATTTTCTTAAACGCTGGCTGCAATATGGCAGTGTATTCAGAGCATGTATTGTGGTGGTTAGCATAATCGAGGGTTTATATGTTCCTGAAATAGCAATCACAAATATAATCAGCAAATCAGACAGACCTCAGTATACTGAATAGAACACATTTTGCTCCAGGTAATCAGTCACTCAGTGCTTAACAAAATGGGTTCACACAATACCAATAAAAAGGCGTATCTGTGATATGCATTTTGTTTAATACTATTAGAGAAGGTTAATGAGCAGTATATATAATCAGAGCATAAATAACCTTCATCATGGCAACAGAAAAAATATTCTTAAATCAAATAAAAATGCAATGATGCAAAACTGATAGACCTGCAGGTTAAATAGGAATATCACATTACTTCAAAAATGCTCAGATTAAGATATATTTTGCCAGGTATTGCCACGACTAATTAAAGCATGACCCATAAAGGGCATAAATTAGATGCTACAGTACAGTAATTAAAGTTGCCTTATCTACAGATAAACTGCAACTATCTGTAGTTAATGCAATTCCCCTGCGGCCTCAGCTAGTTGACCAAAGCCTGTCTTTAAGATGCCTTTAGCTCATTAAGCACTGAGAACATTTCTATTAATTGACATGACAATAGTTTAATTAAAAACCCAGAACCCTGTCATTCTGCCAGGCTGACAGGACATTTGAGCGGAATGCTTGCGACTGGTGACTCAGAGGTTAACTGTGGCAGCAGGCAGCCGGTATTGACTTCTGGGTAATTATACTTAAGTGGTGACTAGAGGAGGCAAATGGCAGTAACAGATTATCTGTTTTGAGGGGATGCATTCTTAGAATCAATAAGAGTCCATTTGTGGAAATAGGGCAATTTAGAGGAAAATACACCCCTGTTCTTGGTCCTATAACAGAAGTCATTCGCCCATGCTACCATAGGTCTTTAATTTTATCTCAAATCTCTCATAGTTAAATTAGGAAATAAAACAGTGGGAAAACAACCTCTCTGAAGCAGTTTTACCTTTCTGCATCTGTTATTAAAAATGAGGATGAGAAATCATTTTAACATGACGCACTACCATTCAAAAGTTTGAGGTCAGTAAGATTTTTTGGTTACACTTTATTTTAAGGTGTCTGTGTACAGAGTAATAATAATTAACTACATGTACTTACTATAGGGTTAGTTTAGGATTAGGTTTTGGGTTAGTTGCATGTATTTATGCCCAATTTATAGTTATGGTTGCACTTTATTTTTCAGTATGTGCACGTACTTACAGTGTACTTACCTTATATTAACCAGTAATTTCTTAGGTAACTATACATGGGTTAAGGTTAGGTTTAGGGGTAGGTTCAGGGTTAGTACCCCATGCACATACTGTAGTATGTACTGGGGAACAGGACTGTAAAATAAAGTACTACCATACTTATTATAGTAACTATATGTAACATGTAATAAGGACACTGTAAAATAAAGTGTGTATACCGATTTTTAAAAAAGAATAAATTTAGCAAGGACACAATAAATTGATTAAAAGTGACAGCAAAGATATTTACCATGTTACAAAAGATTTCTATTTCAAATAAATGCTGTTCTTTTGAACTTTCTATTTTATAAAAAGAATCCTGGAAAAAAATTTTTTTTGTGATATTAACAAAAAATGTTTTTTGAGCACCAAATCAGCATATTAGAATGATATGACCCTGAAGACTGGAGTAATGATGCTGAAAATTCAGCTATGCCATCACAGGAATAAATTACATTTTCACATATATTATAATAGAAAACAGTCATTTTAAATATAAATAATATTTTACAATATTACTGATTTTACTGTACATATTTTTAATCAAATAAATTCAGCCTTTGTGAGCATAAAATACTTATTTCAAAAACATTTAAAAAATCTTACCGACCCCAAACCTTTAAACATTTTTGTATTTGCATGTTTTCTGTCTACAGACATGCTGCCCCTACGGCTCATCCAGTAATTACTGATTACTTTAATTCTGGTACGAGCACCCAGTCACCAGCTGATGTCAGCCCACAGAGCCAATACATTTTGGGACAGGAAGGCTGTTGAGGAAGTCAATGACCTCTCTAAGTAATGAGGGAGAGCAGAAAGAGATTGCAGCTTGGTCCATTCGGGTCTTAGGGGGGTCGTAAAGAGATTTGCTTGTTAAAGAAGTACTTTTCCCTGGCTGATTTTACAGCACTTATACTTTTCTTATACCCTTTCTACTCTGTTTTTTCCCCTCAATTTGCACACAAACACCCTAGAAGATGAAAGAACAGAAAGCCATTTCTTGTGACGGATGTGAAAGACTCCTCTCAGATGTAGCCAACACTCTGCTTGCCCGATTTACAGGGCCAAATCACTTAGACTAACTCTTACAGTCAATCAATTGCATTTACATCTATTGCGGCTCGGCCAACCAGACTCTCCCTAGGAGACAGCCATTAATTGGCTTGTGCAGTGGTATAGATGGACCACTGATCAATCCCAATCAACTCATGTGAAACGTTCATAATAGAGCACTAATAATTGTGCAAGGCAAGCCAAACTCACACTTACAATATCCCAGAAGTGAATTATGGCAAAAGATGATACGGGTCAATTATCAGTTGAGTTGGATATGTGAGTTATTGGAGACGGAAGCACATATAGATAGATCTAAATACACAGAGACTCTTAAATGGATGCCAGGCACTCCCTCTCTTTAATGTTCCCGTAATCTCACATCGCCAAACCGTAGAATTTAATCCAATCAACAAAGAGCTCGTTCTCATTTACCCAGAAGACTTGAGGGGCCCATCATACATCCGTGGTGGGGAGAGCCATGACGGGACGGTGTCTTTTACCCTACATGTCATTTTTCACAGCTCAAGTTTTCCCTTATGTCCTCTTTAGAGACCTCCATTTGAGGGGAACTTGGAAGGAAAGGTGATGGAATAAGTCAGTACCAGTCATCAATGGATTTTTCTTTTTTAAGACACTAAAGCAATCTACATTTTATGATTGCTCAGAAATAATCCACTCATGGGATTATTAATTCAATTAAAATCCAGCTTTTAATTAGGTAGAGTAATGCTCAAATATACGCTCTGAGACTTAATACCCCATTGACACATTGTTTATACTCAAGAGTACATGTTAATGAGAAAATATGTTCACAGGGGTCAGAGTTCATAGGTCAGGGCATCCTAAGGTGGCACAAATGAACAGTACAAGTGTTCTATTGAAGCATTTGGCTGCCTGTCAGATTTCCAATAGAGTTCCAACTCACTACCATCTTAAAAATTGGTCAGTGTCTCAGACTGAGGTCTCCGATTGATAAAAGTGTCACAAAAAAACGTGAATGCATTTAAAGCCAATATCTTAAAAAGGGTCGCAGCATCTGTCAACACAAAGCAATAACATTCGATCCCTTTGGATCCACCTCTTTTAGCAGGAAAGCACAGTTCATTCCTTTAATGTGAACAGTGCATGCCCTAAACCGGATGCTGCTGATTACTTCTGGGCAATTAAGCTCACTGATAGAATGAACTCAGTTTGACTTCGATGCTTGATCTGAAAAGAAGACAAAGACAGCGAGGGGGAGAAAGTGAGAAGCAGACGATGAGAGCGGAGAGTTATGTGATGTTCTGGCAGAGCTTGCAGACTGGGCCCATTGTCCGGCCTTGCAAAATCAGCACTACCCCATTCCTCTGGCCCAGTTAAGACGTTCTTTTTTTGCAAGCTGGCCAGTAGTGCACTCAGCTTCCCCCTTTTTTTGTGATTGCCTGACATTTCTTTTCTCTTCTCTGCTGCTGGTGCTTCCAGCCAGATCTCCTTAATACCTCCACTGACAAGGGTCCTAGTAATAACACAGCTGCCTTTTTATTGATAATGTGTCACAGAATATCTCAGTGTAGTTATCGAACACTGGTAGAGCAGAATGGCATTTTCAGTGGGAAATAAGTAATCGATAGGGAACAGCAAATTAAGTAATAGCATTTTTGCGTCGATGCATATTACAGCTCAGTTAACAGCTTTCGGATCGGCAAGGGTCCACGCTGCAGGATGAACAGATCAATCCGCACACAGAGCTGACGTCTCGCTTTGACAACATAATTAGTAATCATACAGAGAAACGTGTTTGAGGACAATATGAAAATCCTCCCTCGGATATTCAGCTCATGGATCCGAACCATGAAGAGGCAGTCAGGGAAACCATGTGATTTTCTATGAGGAAAACAACTTTTTAAAAGTAAAGAGAGATGAATAACTGAGATGAAGGGTGTCAACTGAGAAGAGATGATATACCGTACTTAGTTCCTACATGACGTCACAACATGTGGGCATGCTGTGGGCAGAACATTAGAAGAAGAAGAAGCTGAAACGAGTTAATTTCGTGATAAAAAGTGAAAATGGTCATCTCCTGCTGGGTCAATGGATGTTCAAATCGTGGCGGAGGTTCAGTTAAATTGGGATTTTATAGTATACCTGTCATTAGACTTCATGAATGTGAGAAGACTAAGCTTTTGTCAGAACAACGATGGAGGTTATGGCTGCCGCGGATAAACAGGGGTTGGATAAATATTTTTTGCTTTTAAACGGTGTGTGTGTGTGTGTGTGAGTGTGAGAGAGAGAGAGAGAGAGAGAGAGAGAGAGAGAGAGAGAGAGAGAGAGAGAGAGAGAGAGAGAGAGAGAGAGAGAGAGAGAGAGAGAGAGATTTTGGTTGGGTAACGGTTGTAGTTTACAGTTTGACAAAAGCACAATGTTGTGTTTTATTGCGAGTGTACACAAATATAAGTTAACACTTTGCAGTTTGAATGATGTCCTGTATGAACAAAATGACGAGTTATTAAAAACATACAAAAACAACATTGTTTCCACTGTTCGATCGCGCCCGCGCCTCTCTCTCACTCACACAGACAGACACACAAACACACACATTCCAGCATTGCAATCTCAGATTATGTCCCTAAAGAACCCGCGTATAAAGTAGTTCCGCATTACATTAATTAATTTGCACGCGAGTTTTATTTATTTTTATACCGTGTATATTCATGCACCGAACCGTGACGCCCGTACCGTTTCGGTTCAATACGAATACATGTACCGTTCCACCCCTATTCTTCAGTGTACAAATAAGTATATGTATATTACAGAAAGCACCGATGACTGTTTTAAGGGGAACATAGGAATTAAGTTGTGCAGGCTATGGCTTTTTAATAGACAGATAGTCTAGCATCATGCTACATACCTTCGCTATGATGACTACTTTTCCATTGATTGCACTTGAGCAAACGTCACCAACCCTCGGCAAACTGATTGTATGCCTCCAGTGATTTCCAGGCTCGGAATTGCTCACATGTGTAAAAACTCCTAACCAATACCAGATAATGGTAACGTTACACATGATAATTCTGTATCTGAGGCAAAGCTGCATAATCAGTGCTCAGTGCTTCCTTCGTTAGCGCATACGGATCCACACCATTTATGACTGAAATTTTTGCATTGTACCTCTCTCTGTCTTGTGTTAATAGAGTCTCTTTATAATCTCTGTCACTTTGTCTCTTCATGATTTTCGTAACATTATAAACAGAAAGAAATATTCGAAATTTGCTTGTAAAAATGTGTAAACAGCAGCTTATGCCATCAAAGATGGCGTCTCCGGGAGGTCACGTGACATTAATTGGCCTGGAACTATGTATTGTTAATGGGAGGTCTGACAGGAAATAGTCTACATCTGTTTATATATTATTTACATGATTTTGCTGTCAATCCTCATTGACTGTTTTGATTCTAAAAGGGTAATTCTATTAATTTATAGTACGCTACTTAATATTTAAATGCTGGAATACTTGATTCTAACTGGTCAATTGCAGCACTCAGTGGTCAAATAATTTTTTGTTTAATTTTTATTCTTTTGCAGCCTTTTTCTTCTCACATAATAAAACAATTTCAAATCATTGTATGTGTTTATTTGGTAAATAGCAGTGCAATAAGCAGGATAATGGACCATCAGATGGTCATTATTGCAAAATAAACCCCAACAGGGTGATCAAGACTTAACGCAAAGTGAATGTGAACATAGTGGAAGGATTTCAGTTGAATTGGCCTTGTTAAACGTATAAACAGAAACAAAAAAGATTAAAATAATTTTAAAATGGCACTTGTTAAAAATGGTTAAGGTTGCCCACCTATAGCAGGGGTAATAACTGAAATTGGCACACATCCATCTGTTTATAGTGCAACATGATTGTAGATTACAGCCTTCTGACAAATCTGTCTGTATACACAATGTTATACATCACATATATAATAATTGGGCTGCGTCTTATTGGTTCTTTAAATTGAATGCATATTATTCAAGAGTGTTTTCACCTCAACCATTGACCCAATGCTGCCTAAATCATTTTTATACACTAAACCTGTTTGTGACCTTCCTCATCGTCCACCTTATAACTGGAGAACGCATGAGAAGTGTTTTGCTTAACAAAGGAGGTGATGAACATCTGCGCCTTGTTCGATTAGGCTACCTCTAGTGCAGCCCAGCCAGACACGCGCGAGGGAGACATCATTGAAGTGGAGCAGCAGCGCGCTCGCAAGTGGAGGCGCGAGTCTCTCTCTTTCTCTCTCTCTCTCTCTCTCTCTCTCTCTCTCTCTCTCTCTCTCTCTCTCTCTCTCTCTCTCTCTCTCTCTCTCTCTCTCTCTCTCTCTCTCTCTCTCTCTCCCCCCAAAATTCAGAGGCGCTCTGCAAAGTGTCAGCCCTGCTCAGTGGAAATCATGTCTTTGAACACTATGAAGAAGATACTCTGCCAATAAACGTTAAAAAGGCGCCTGACTGGAACAAGTCTGAGTGAAGTTCACTCCATCATCTACTCCAGTGAAAGACGCCAGGATGCGCGCGGAACTCGGTATCCTTTGTGCTTTGACTTTCCTGGTCTCGTGCACCCATGGCGCGCGAGTTGTGAGCGGTAAGTTTCATTTTTATGTAGTATAAAGCTATTTTTTATCCATCTAATTCATTTCCAGAATTTCAGTCAGCGAGGACAATTGTATCAAAATATTGAGGGGTTTTTTTTTGTGGTAAAATGACGCTCAAAGGATTTGCTGTCGCAATTATTTAATTTTAAAGGGATCGTTCAGCCAAAAAAGAAAATATTGTCATAATTTAAGCATCCTCATGTTGTTCCAAAACTGTATGACTTTCTTTGTTTGGCAGAAAGGAGAAGTTAGGCAGAATGACATCCTCTGTCACCATTCATTTTCACTGTATGGAAAAATGATGCAAAGAAAGTGAATGGTGACTGAAGCTGAACATCTTCTTTTGAATTCCACAAAAGAAAGAAAGGCATACAGGTTTGGAACAATGTAATATTGAGTAAAGGATCACAAGATTGTCATTTTGGATGAGCTGTCCCTTTAGAGCCATTGTCACACCAGTAGTCTGAATTAAAAATATTGCTTTCAGGAATTTTGACCAAATCTATGAAACAAAATAATGCGCTTAATTTCTCAAATTGATTTTCGGTGTGGCAGTCATAAAGAACTGTTAGATGTGAAATGAACTCTAGAAGCTGTCACAAAATTATATATAATATAATTTATTATATATAAATTATATTATATATACATTCTCTCTTGATTAAGAGATGGAATGAAAATATTAGATGAAAATGAAAGAGATGGGTAGAGACAGACAAATGAACAGAAAAAACAAAACAACAGCTTTATCATGTGTGAACTAAAAGGATGCACCAAGGGAAATTAAAATCAGCTGTGCAGTTCTTTGTGATGAGATCAGGGTTTAACAAAGGTAACTAGAAAGCGGCAGTTTTGTAGAACGGAACTGCAAGAACATTCCATGCTGGAAGGAGGAAAACTGTGCCACACAGAGACAGGAATTGAGGAAGAAAGCTAAGGAAGCTGGTTGAGAAAATGCTGAGTCTAGTTTCCCCCCAGTTAAACCCAGCCCTATTACTGGGCTCAAACTGATGATATTGCAGATCTGGACCAAGCAATTATTTAAAGTACCTCCCGGGCAGGGAGCTAATGTTATTATTAGACTTTTAACAGTCTGTGTATTAATCACAGTTCTCTTCATTGGGCCCATCAGTGTATCTTAAGTGTTTTCTATAATGCAAGATGCTTTGTTTATGATTTCTTTCAAATAATAATTCCATGCATTTTCTATCTATCTATCTATCTATCTATCTATCTATCTATCTATCTATCTATCTATCTATCTATCTATCTATCTATCTATCTATCTATCTATCTATCTATCTATCTATCTATCTATCTATCTATCTATCCATCCATCCATCCATCCATCCATCCATCCATCCATCCATCCATCCATCCATCCATCCATCCATCCATCCATCCATCCATCCATCCATCCATCCATCCATCCATCCATCCATCTATCTATCTATCTATCTATCTATCTATCTATCTATCTATCTATCTATCTATCTATCTAGCCATCTATCTATCCATCCATCCATCTGGAAAGTCATGCAGAACAAGAAATCTCTAAGAATGCAGCATGAATTTTGTGTCTTCAGGTCAGACAGTGTGTCAAGGCAGTCCTGAGCACCCTTGCTATAAGATCGCTTACTTCAGGGACGTGACGAGTCGTGTTGCGTTCTGGGAGGCTCTGCAGGCGTGTGAAATGGACGGCGGTTCGTTGCTGAGCATTGAGAACACGGCAGAGCAGAAGCACATCGAACACCTCCTGCGGGAACTCAGCATCTCCACTTCCACTAGTGCTGCCACCGGGTCGGGTATCACAGACGGAGACTTCTGGATCGGCCTGACTCGCGTGGAGGGCGAGAACGCACAGGAGCCTGGCAGCTTCGCCTCATGCCCCAACCTGTACAGGTGGACTGATGGAAGTGTCTCACAGTTCAGGTAAGATGTGACTGATTTGGGGCCTGTTCAAAGCAGAGTTCTGGATCAGGGTTATGGATCAAAAACTGTCAAACATTAGGACTTTTTTTCCTAGAAACTGGTATGCTGATGAACCATCCTGTGGAGGAGAAGCTTGTGTGGTCATGTATCACCAGCCTACTGCTCTCGCCGGGCCTGGCGGGCCGTATCTCTACCAGTGGAATGATGACCGGTGCAATATGAAGCACAATTTCATCTGCAAGTATGAACCAGGTACTAGGTTATTTGCACTGTGAACCTTTTGAGATGACTGTAAAAAAGTGAGTTCAGGTTGATCAGGTTACTTTTGACAATGTTTGTTTTGTTGTTCTGAGCAGAAAGCTACCTGGTAAAAGAACAGAGCGACAGGCCTGGAGGGCGTGATGTTGGTAAGCAGCCAGGTGTCAAATCCATCATCCTTTGACATAAAGATTTAAAGATGTGTTGACACTAATCTGTAAATGTGCCCTCCAGATCTTTCAACAGAAGAACAAGAGGAGAGGAGAACACCTCCCGTCGACCAGGACGAGAGCCCTCAACTTATAATGCCAGGGCCCTCAAGTAACATTAGATTTAAAATTCTGAAAAGAATATTTTGTGTTCAGTAAAGGTTAAGCTTCAACAGCATTTGTGTTGGTTTACCACAAAAATAATTTCCACTTGTCCTTTCTTTAAAAAAAAAAAAATCAATCTATTACAACGAGTAATTTACAATGAAAGTGAATGGGGCCAATTTCAATTTCTCAAGTTTGAATAGAAGACTTAACTGTAAGCATTTAGCATGATTTTAGTGTGAAAACAGTTACTAATCTTTTCTAAAGTTATATCCACTTTTAAAACTTCTTCAACGGAATGCCTTGAAAACTTAAAATAACTGTAAAATTATTATTTAAATAGCTTTATAGATCAAATAATACACATTTTAACAAAATAATTAATTTACTGTTCAAAAGTTTGGGGTGAGATTTTTTAGGAAAATGTGTTTTATTTTTATATTATTTACATTTAATTTATATTTAATATTATATTCATTTATATTTAATATTATTTAATTTAGTAAGGATATATTACATTGAACAAAAGTGACAGTAACCAAATCAGCATTATTTCCAAAGCATCATGTGACAGCTTTCAGCTTTGCCTTCACAGGAATAAATTACATTTAAAATGTATCAAAATAGAAAACAGTTATTTTAAATTGTAATAATATTTCATAAAGGCAGCCTTCAAGGTAGGTGACTTAAAAACATTTTAAAAAATCTTGCTGAACCCAAACATTTGATTGATTGATAAATAATGTTTTTATGTGCTGTTCATTGAGTTTCACTTGTACTGAACGCAGAATATTCCTTCAACTCAAAATAAATGCCCAAATGTGAATAGAAATCAAAGTGTGTTTTTTTTCTTTCCCAGGTATGCTGCTAATCTACGTGATTATCCCTACCATCCCTCTTCTCTTGCTGATCCTGGTGGCTTCAGGGACGTGCTGTTTCCAGATGTTGAGCAAGAGGTGAGCCATTAAGATCAAATCACTGTAAACGCTGTCAGACTAATGCTAATGCGCTGTCCTATTATGCACAGTATCATCCAAATACTGCGACACATCAGGAAGTCAGTGTCTCACCAGCATCTTTATACAATAACAGCCTTAGCGTCTTGATTAATCAAGGTTTTCTGCTCACTAGCCAAAATCTGACACCATCCTCTATTTCTTTCACTAACCCAGAGTTTTTACTGTGATTAATTAGATTCTTCTGTTTATAACTGTGCCCGGCAAAACAGCTTAGCCCATACTAATCATCATCAACATACTCATTATAGCATGGATTTGGTATATTTGAAGGGGGAGGGGTTTTCCTGCCGCATTACATCACACTGCGTTGGAGACAGAGTCCAACTCGACTTTTATTCCCATCAATATCCAGATCGGCAGGGAACGGGTCTACAGAACTGCTGAAGCAAGCCATTCCTGTCCTCCGCTCCCGGCCCTCAACACAGATCATGAAACACAGTTCATCTCGCTTTAACCCTCGGCCCGTGCTTGGCAAGGCATTATATAGTGGCTTATTTGTGTAATTTATTATGTTTATACGCTGACGCTCCCACAGAGCGATGTCTTTTTAACATATTTCCAATCACTTCGGCAGACGGGGATCCTCAGACAATGCATTAAATCACTGGCAATGACTGAGTGCGCTTTATTCGGTAAAAGGCTTCCTGGAGCGAGTTCAAAGCTTTTGGATAAATGTCTTAACTCCTCAGCAGATGATGCTTCTCTGTTTTACGATGTTTGCCACTTGTTCTCGTGATTAAAAACCATCTTGGAGCATAAAACCAGGAGGAGTCCCCTAACGGCTGCTTTGCTTCGGTCTGCTCATCGCGAATACCTTTAAATGTCTTCCATGCATGGTGCTATAAAACTTTGCCAGTAAAACTCAGCAACAAATTATGAAACTAACAAAACCAAAGGGGAGATTTAAAATCGAACTTTCACAATGCACACAAAAGCAATACATTTACTTCTGTGCCCATATTAACAGATTACAGTATAACAGTATATATCAACAAATAAAACTAAAACTGAAAGTTCTCTCGTTATTTACTCACCCTCATATCATTCCAAAACTGCATGCATTTCTTCTGTGCAAAACAAAAGATATTTTGAAGAATTGTTTTTGTCCATGCAATGGCATTGCATGTATGGATTGGACAATATTGGATTTGATTGTATAGACATAAAGATTTCCACAGAAGAAACTCATACAGGTTTGGATAGACATGAGGGAATATTCATACATGATGAGTAAATGAATATACATTTTTGGGTGAATACTTTTATAAGTAAACTATTTGCAAATAATTCAATTTGCTCACCTATTTTAAAGAAAAGTGACACTGACAGATACACAAACCTGTTATACAGTATATAAATTGTATACATAATTGTATATATATTTTTTTAACAGTAAACCACGGACCAAAACAAGCGTTAACCAATCAACTCTCTGGATCTCCAAGACGCCAAAGACAGACAGTGGGATGGAGGTTTAAAGATTAATCTCCATGATTCAAGCAGCTTCCTGGTTCTGTCTATGTTGCTTGGTCAGCAACACGCTCGTCCGGTTGTTAGTTTAGTGTGTGATTTAGTAAAACAAGCTCAAATGTGCAGCACCAGAAGAGCAGTTACACACGTATCGCATTTCTGTACAAATGTTGTGCTTAGAGCTGGTCCTCAGCCTCTTACAACCACGCAGTTTCCTGTTCACTCCCATGACCTTCTCCATTTCATGTTTCATGTCAGATAGATAGTCTGACCTGAGGGTACTGAAGGCTGCTTAGGGAGGGTGAATGCTAATTGGCACCAAACACAGTGAGCAATTAAATTACTGTAATTAAAGCAAGTACAAGTGGGAACCACATAAAAAGAGGAATTAAGAGTTCCTTCTAACAGCGAAAAGTGTCACACAAACTGAAGCTTGTGACACAGTAAATAAATGAATCACTTAAAGAGCATAACAAAGCCTGCTTCAAAAGGGTTCAGAAGAATTGGAGTACTTTGTGACTCATTCAAGAAATTAGAGGCCCATTTAATCTCAAACATTACTCATGCAGTGTGATGCATTGCCTATGACGCCATAATATCATGCATAATTACCTGCATATACAACTGATAATTTGATAATGATGAGATTTATTTTAAAACATACATGATCATTACTTAAATAACTGGTAGGACCGACTTAAATAGCGACTGTTTTGCTCTGCAGCTTATAGAACATTGTTATCAAAAAACATGAATTAATCAGAAATGTACATATTTTTTTGTATGATGCTATTACAAAGCTGCTTTAAGCTGGCACTTGTATATGCAGTATTTTGCATGAGAATATTTTATCATCACCTTTTACAACACTGCATATAGAAAATATCAACGCTAAAAAAGTATTAAACTGGTTTGCATCATTGTGAAATATTGTATCAGATATCGAAGTTAGTCAGTTAGACATCTGGTTGTACAGGAAGATGCATTTCTGTGAGTGTGGGTAATATTGTGTGTTTGGATTTAAAATGTGCTGTTAATACTTTTTATATTTTTTGAGACAGGAATTGGACAAACGGATTAAAAATATTTCATTGTGAAGATGTTTTAGTATGTTTTTATGTCTCTAGAATTATGCCATTTGTTTGTAGTACCACATACAGTAAATGCTTAATCGCCAACAAAAACACCAGTCTTTTGAGTTACTTGACGTCCGAGTTACACGAAATCTGTATTGTGTTTTCATCACAGATTAAACAGCTGTATGTAGGTTCTTATCGATAAACAACTTTTAATGTGATTAGCAGATATTAAATATGAATAGGAATCGTATTCAAAGAATTTACGTCCTTATCTCTGCTCCTCAAACGCTCAAGAAAAAGGTTCTTTTGCAAAAAAAAATAAAAAACACCTTAGATACACAGATCAAAGCTGAATATACAGATTACTACTGGCAATTGCACCATTTGTATTTGTTTTAGAGAAACACAGTTATGGCCATGAATTTAAATAGACACGGAGATCAGAAAGCTTTCAGGGGGTCCAGCTGGCAGGCAGAGTTAGAGCCAGACATAAGACAAATGAACTGGACCGCATTAACACCGAAAAGATGTGGTACTTTGTATGCGATTTACCCTGGTCTGCAATTAGTGCCAGCATAGACTTTAAAGCACACTGCTAATTACGGAGCCAATTAAACTAATCAGTCCTATGCTTCGACAGGAGAACTCACGTCACACACTCAGGATCTGGTAATTATAGATATGACTGTAATCACTAGTCTGGAGGCACAGGGTAGAATTAAAGAAACAAACCCTTTCCCATCTGGAGAGGGGGGTGATTTTAGCCTATTAGAGATACAAAACACAAGCATCTTATTCTCCACCCGACCAAGATCCAAACAGCTCTTCACATCGCTCTATTAGAACTGGAATACGCTTCGTTTAAAACATACTCCTTAGTCTTTTGTTTTATTTATAACTTTTTTTTTTACAGTGCATCCTGCAAGCTCCAAATCAAATCTAAATGTCAAAGACATTACTACTACTAATTAGAAATGCCAAACACTAATCAATGGGGTTTGGGAATGATAATCAGTGTATGCAAGTGCACTCAGGTGGGGTTTTACATATTTGTGATGATGGATGAATCACAGTTCATATAGTTTTATTTAATTCACCTGAAATTGGATGTAAGAGACGTAATCGGCAGAGACATTTAGAGGGACATGTTTAATATTCAGAGTGCTGGTCAATCAATATGGGTTTTCAGAGACAGATTATTCCATTTTTAATAAAAGCAATTTAAATAAAAGCTCACCACTACTAATATCAAACAAACCATCTGTCATAATTTGCTGCTGCATCAGCTTAAGCCAAAAGTGAGACGCAAGCACAACTTTACAATTTGGGAAGATGCTTTAATATACATATCAAGATCAAGGATGCAAATATTACTGATGACAATGCCTTTAAAGTCACATCAACCAAGAGTTTAAACTGCATTAGCACATAATCATTGTAGGTAATTAAAGATCCCACGGGCAATCAAGGCCTTATGCTATTCGCAACCTTTCACCCAGCGTTCCATCTTACGGCCATTACAGTAACTTTCCCAGGTGTCCCTGCAAACACAAAGATCAACATAAACATGTCAAAAACGCACATGCACGATAGATCAATACACTTAGATATGATACAATGTTAGGCAGAGCTTGAGGCCAAATCTCTAAAGGAACAAGCAATGTGACAAATAAGCTCTGTCAGTTGTGCCCAAGGATGTTTGTAATGAATACTTGCCATGATTTCAGTCCGTCGGTTTTCACAATGAGCTTTGCACATTCAACTGAAGTTTTCAGGTCGTCCTTAAGCAAATCTAGCAGATGAGAAACATTTATATACAAAATGTTATACTAAAGTTTTAAAACAGACACATTGGGGTCAGAAAGTTTTGTCAAAATGAATTCAAGTTATTAAATTTAAAGCTGCTAAGTTCGGAAATGACCTCTGATTAAGCGGTGCTTTATGCATCACTACACTATTGATAAAGGACAATCTTTGCCTGCAAAATTTTGCCCAATCACATTAGTGAAGTCTCAAAGGCAAAAAAACCCATCTCATCAATAGTGTAGCGATGTATGAAGCACAGCTCGCACAGAAGTCACTTTCAAACCAAACAGATTTATGTTGGTCAAAGCGAGAAATCCACGCGAAATCTGTGGAGGGAAATCTTACGCCCTCACTTGAAATTCCTATTGAAATGTCTGTGAAAAATGTGCCGAACAACAGTAGCCTAAATGTGACCGTCCCTTAACACAAGTTATATTAAAAGATTACCAATACATTATCAATATTTAATACAGGAGCCACATCAGAAAACATCAATATTCATACCATAACTTTTACATTTTAGAATTTTGGGAAAAAAGAGAAGCTATGATTAACATTTTGAATTCCAAATTTAGACTTTCAGACCCCACTGTATGTTTTACAAAATTATAAGTATTCTACTTTAACTAGCCTACTTCTGATTGTTTTCAATATGTTTTAGGTCATATGAAACATTTAAAGAAAATAAAAGTACCTGAACAGGGCACATTGCACATGTTCTTTCCATCCTTAGTGCCATCATCACACCATTTGAAACTGTTTATCTGGAAGATTCCATAGTCTTTCCCGGTATCAGCCGAACGCACTCTATGGGTCTTAAACCTGCTTTCCCAGTAGGCCGTGCACACATCTATTGAAATTAAGTGAAAGGTTCAAACCAAAGTAATACAGTATATTATGGAAGGTTTTTCAATGCTGGATCTACTAAAAAATCCTCACTAATACAATCAGATATGCCAAACATTGTGATAATGAAAATAAGAAACAAAGTACTCACAATTGCCAAGAGAGAATCCCTCAAAGCCATCAAGTCCCCCTTCCCTGAAGATACGGACGACGTCACAACGCCCCAGTGTGCGGCCCTCACAAGAGGACAGCCACATCAGACACAAGACCGCAATAAACACCCTCATATCTGCACTGCTGCTCACAAATTCACTGTCAATATCTGCTATCTGAAGAGGAGTTCAGATGGATGGTGGAAGCTGTTGAGTGGGACTATTTATAAGTGAAATGAGAGGTTTGTGTCGCAACCAATTTTCACAAGTGCATGCAGTTTGCAGTTGCTCCAGTTATTGTTGCTGAGGCAATAACTGACTTTGGGATGTTTTTATTTCTAGAACCAATTTTTTTTTTTTCATTTACTTTTTTCTTTAACGAGCTGAAGAGCACACATCACATAAAATTGCACTGGTTGCCAGTTGCATCAAATTCAAGGCACTGATGTTTGCCTACAGAACAACCACAAGCTCTTCACCACTATACCTTAGGACACATCATTGTATACTGTACAGTTTGGTAGGATGGTCATCTCTTTATTTGCCCAGGCTCGAACATTGTTAATTTACAAGGTTATTTTAGGAAAACTTCCAAATTATTTAAACAGGAATTTTTTTTATCATTTCAAAGCTGTCATAATCTCAGGTCACATAAATGGCTACAGTTTAAAGTGCCTGCTATCAGAACAGAGGCTGGAAAGCTAAGCCTGTTCTATTATGGCCCTTGGTCTTGGAATGATGTGCAGACTAAACTCAAACTACAATCCCTCATCTCTCTAAATGATTTTAAACATAGAATAAAGGAGGTGGTCACTGCTAATTGCAGTTGCTTTGCCAATTCTATTACTTAACTCTTTAGTTATAATAATGTTGTTTCTGTGAACAGTACTATGTAGTGTATTATGTTATACCTAAATGTTTGTGTATGTCTCAGTGTTGTATAACATCTTATTGTGGAGCTGTGTTTTCTGATGTATCTAATGATGATGTTGTGATTGGTTTCTTATTGTTGTTTGTTATTTGTTTAATCCTGCTATCCGACCCTGTCTTGACTAGGTCTCACTTGTAAAAGAGGTTTTAACCTCAATGTGACTTTCCTAGTTAAATAAAGGTTAATAATAATAATAATAATAATAATACCTAAACTCACTACTTCAGACTTCTGTGCCCTCCAGAAGCTTGTGTGTGCCATCCCAAAGAGGCACAAAATCACTTTCATGGACCTTTACCTGGTCGAATGACCTGCCTAACTCAACCTGAGCTGCTGAGTCTTTAGCCATTTTCAAGAAACGTTCATTTTCATCTTTTTCGTCAACACTTGACTTTACCCATTAATACTAAAACTTACTAATCTATATCTAGAATGGGACTAGTCACAGCACTTGCATATTGTTGCCCTATTGTTGGCTTGATTGCTCTCCTCATTTGTAAGTCGCTTTGAATAAAAGCGTCTGCTAAATAATTAAATGTAAATGTCATGCAGAGGAACTGGAAAAGATTTAGATAAAGACAACAGTGGACATAAGATGAAATTCTCAATACAGGGGAAAACCTCCTGTAATCATGATGTAGCTAAAAAGAGCAGCATTTAAGAACATAAACATTAATAAAAACCACATCAAATATATATTGAGTTTGGGATTTTATTCAGGAAATTTCCATACAGGTTGTAATATGCTATAAAAAAATGTATCTAAAACTTAATGCTAATCTACACTCTTGGTGAAACAACTGTCAACTGAAATGCCTGAAATGACCGGACCAGAGCACGAAAGGAAAGATATGAAGACAGTTACAATGTGGAAAACTGTTGTGAAAAAAACCCCAGCACCATAATGCAACATAATGAGCAAATAACTGACAATAACTGCAAAGGAAATGGGGACGAGGAGAATGTGTCAACAAACATCTCAAACAGCCACTGTGCATAACCTCAAACAGCCCTTAGAAGGAAAAAACGATAAGACCTGCTGTTGCTTATTATTTATCATATTGCTGGTGTAATTTTCGGTAACACTTTATTTTACGGTGTCCTTAATACACGTTACATGTAGTTACACTATAATATTAACTATAAACTGTGCATAATTACATGCAACTAACCCTAAACCAAAACCTAAACTAACACTATAGTAAGTACATGTAGTTAATTATTATTACTCTGTACCTAGATGTATAATTACACTGTAACACGGACAGCTTAAAATAAAGTGCAACCTAATTTTCATATGCATATTGTACTGCATTGTAAAACACTGACATAAGAGTATCAAAAGTGTCAAAAATATAATTTAGTTATAAATGATCAACTCTGATCTGACATCAGCTGAAATAAAACATCCTATAAAATTCAGTGAAAACAGCCCTAAGGTATCTAAAGAATCGTGAAACATAAGTTAACATTAAACAATGTAAACTGGCATGTTTGTGTGCTTTATGTGTGAACTTAAATATTTGTTTCAATTAAGTGGCAGAAAAAGCTACAAATATTATTGTAAGAAATAAATAAACATTCAATTATCAAAATAATACATTACAAAAAAATTGAAAAATAGAAAGAAAAAAAGATTAATAGATAAAAAGAAATGAATAATTTAAATACATTTAAAATAACCCCCACAATTCACTATAATATTTCAAAGTCTGTTTGTGTTCCACCTGTCATTTAACATTTTATTCAGTATATTCTGTCCAAAGGCATATGAAACATTAATTAGAGTCAATAAACTGTGCTTTAGGGAACCTAATGTATGATGTGAAATTTATGTGAAACTTATAATTATATGAAATAATAATTTTATTATTTACCTTTTATAAATGATAATTTGATATACTGTAAGAGCAAGAGGTCTCATCTTATTGACTGAACAGCGGCCCCTGCTGGAAGACAGTGGAAGGGGCGTCAAACTTCACAGCTTGTCCATTATTCAAAACCAGCACCCTGAAGGAGTAACAACAGATCAGAAATACCTTACTTGAATAGTTGACATTTAAATGACAGGATGTGTCACAGGTTAAATAAAAGATTGTAGCTCCTGACCTGTCAGTGTGCATGACAGTGAGCGGGTTCTGAGTGAGCCACAGTACGGTGCAGTCTTTAAACGCTGTGTGGATCAACTGCCGGACAAGGCCCTCTGTTTCTATGTCCACACAAGGAAGAGCCTCTTCCACAAGCAGGATTTTGACCCTTGCAAGCAAGGCTCTGGCTAAACACAGCAACCTCCTCTGGCCAAAGCTTACATAACACAAAAAACAGAAATATTTAACCCATAACAACCAATTGTTTGTTGTGCCAGTGCATAAAGGTTGCCATAGAGAAAACTATATTGTTTCATGAAGCAATAAACCAGAGCCACAGTCTAGATCTGGACCCATGATTGGTTCCAGCCAGACTGTGAATCTTTTCTCACTGCAGTTTTTTTTTACTCACAAAATGAGCAGCCTTTATACCATATCGTGGGAAACAATTAATTAGCTCAGTTATTTCGGTTTGCCCAAACTGCAAATTCCAGTTAATGGAATTTGATTTTTAATATTCAACTGAGAAGCTTCTAAAAGTTTTTTTTTAATAGTTTTATTTTAAATTGTAAATTCAGTATTTCATTTTTGTGATCCTGTTTTTTTTGGGAATTGGATTAAATAACTATATAATTAGACTAGAATTATATAATTATGATTAAATAAATAATATACTATTAATACTACATCAACCATTTATATAATAACTGTATTAAGATTCTGGTATTCACCCAATTCTGGTATGATGTTACACTCTGGATATTACATAAACATGTAAAATTGGCATCCAAAGATTTGCCATGATTCCCACACACCTGAAAGTGAGAGACGTTCTTTGAACAGGGTGCAGCAGCTGAGCAGGCAATTGTTGAACACGTTCCTTGAGATGGCAGAGCTCCAAGGCCAGCCACACCTGCGTGTCATTATGCTGAGCGAACGGGTCCAGGTTAGCCCTCAGGGGTCCCGAGAACAGTACAGGAACCTGTAACACATGGGACACCATAACTCATTAAAAATTCAATAACTGAATAATGCTTGTTACTGGTGGAGCCTGGGTAAAGCAAGTTTTACATTATACACAGTATTATTCGACAGCATTCCTTCAACCACACCCAGTAAAATAGTTCTGTTACCTGTCAACACTCCTTCTCCTCCAGACTTTGACTGATTTTGCTCTGGCTGGATCGAACTAGTTTGATCTCATTCTCTTGTATGCATTGCATTGCAAATATAATATTGTTGGTCTAACCTGAGAAATGATTTGCAGACGGCTACGAAGGTCATGTAGACTCATGCGGGTAATGTTTACATCGTCAATCAGCACAGCACCACTCCTGGCCTCCACTGTCCGGAACAGACAGCTAACCAAGCTATCGGTGTCTGCTTTCCCCCTGCTTATAACTCCAATCTGTGTACACACGCAAACACACCAAAATCAACCTGAGATTTAAATTAGGGATGACTTGATATCACTTTCTCACGTTCGATACAGATATCGATCCCACAACCTTGACGCCAATTTTTTTTCTTGATCAGTTTATAATATGTATACCTCACTAATTACACAATCCTACATTATAAATAAAGAGAAAATTCTGCACACACACACATATACATACATGTATATAAAGAGAGCGAAGATATACTGTGTGTGCACAACACTGAGAGTACTGCATCTGTCTAGCAGTTTACTGAGCCTTTTTCTGTTTTAAATTTCAGTTACTGTGTGAATATCCTCTACTCCAGTCTTCTCATCCGATAGCGAGTACCATGCCATTCAGAATCACTAATAAACTCCAGCTAAGTACAGTAGTTTTGAACAAAAGAACACCTTTATGTTCAGATTATGCATCATAATGGGAACATTGCAACATTTTTGAGAGAGTTTTGCCATGCTGTCTGTCACAGCTGAACATGACACGGTGTTTGAAGTTGAAGGATGACTGACAGCTCGCAGAGGAGGGAAGAATTTCAGTGAAATAATTTACTGACAGATCTGGCAAAAAAGGTCCATATAGGCCCAATACCGATATTGAGTATTGGATCGCCGCATCCCTAATTTAAATACTGATATATTCAGTATGCAAATAAAATAAATACATTTAAATGTATCATCAGCTATCTTAAATGATTAAAATTATTATTATTATTATAATGAATAATAAATACAAACAAATCTATCATTAATATAAAAAATTAATTTGTTATTTATAAATAAATGAATACATATAAAATAGGGCTGTCAAACGATTAATGACGATTAATCGCATCCAAAATAAAAGTTTGTGTTTACATAATATATGTGTGTGTACTGTGTATAATTATTTTGTATATAAATGCACACATGTATATATTTAAGAAAAATATGTTATTTATATAAAAAATGTTTGTATTTATATAAAATATACATTATATATAGGCTACATTCAGTCTATATACAGTATATACATGCAAATATTTCTTAAATACACATGCATGTGTGGGTATTTATGTATTAAAAATAGCTCACACACATATATTATGTAAACACAAACTTTTATTTTGGATGCGATTAACAGTTTGACAGCCCTAATATAAAATAATAAAGAGTTAGATAAATAAATTCAGAATACCTTTTCCCCTTTTAAAATGGTGAGATTAATTCCTCTAAGAGCTGGAGTGCAGTTGGAGGAGGCTTCGGACTCATAGTTCCTGAACTTCACCTCTCCATGCCGGGGCCAGTCAAAGGGTGGTCTGTGGGTGACTGTCCATTCTGCCTGGGGTAAAAGGGGGCATTTGGTTAAATTCAATTCCATGCAGAGGATATGACATCCAATGATACTAAAAAAGTCATCCTTTTGGGAACTATGAATTTGACCATGTAGGGTTATGTGTAAGGAGTGACTGGGCAAGCACAATGGAAGGAGTTTTTAGGTGTTAAATAAGTATTATGTTACCCTATACCTCCTTTTCTACTTTGGCAAATTCACAAAATCTTTGCATCCTCAGCATGTCGATGTTGATATCAGAGGCGGCCTGAGGGTAACGGCGAAGAGCTTCTTTAATCTGTAAAAAAATGTTTTCATAATCATTATGAATTATTCAAACTCAGATTAGGTATCAGTATAGATAAACTTACATTAAAGGCACAGATCAAAGCCAGAGCCACGAGCCCTGAGTCAGGTTGAGTCTCAAGCAGAATCAGACTGACCAGGAACAGCACAATCCCAGCAACCCCATCAAACTGCAACACAGCCCAACTGCACACAGAAATATTGCTTTTGGTCATAAAGCAATCACATTAATCAAAGCTGTATATGCTGCGATAAACGTGACATAGTTATTTGACAGCTTTAGAAGATAAAATTTACATTTAAAACTTAGTTTTACTCCAAAGGTATGTAAAATAATATTTTATTGGCTTGAAAATCCAACATACTCAAAAAACAAAAACAGTTGCAAAAGCTAATCAGTCAGAGATGCATTTTACACGATATTACACTCAAATAGCGCCCCCTAGTGTAGCGTAGTTCTCATTTTTTTCAGGTGGCAGGTCAAAAAACTGCAGAACACCTTAAACACAAATCTCTTTCTGTCCACAGAAGAATACACAAAATTCAGCCTGAGATTTAAATATGGATATTTCCATTACATAAATAAATGTTAATTGTCAGTATATCTCAAAATAAATTATGTAAATATAGACTTTTACAACTAATAATAACAATAAAAGGCAATAAGAAAACAAAAGCTAATATCAGCACCAGTTATGTAATTGAAGTGGGACAATAGAAACAGTTAATCAAAATTAACATTAACACAATCAGTTAATTCCTTGTTGATTAATTAGTTGATTTAACTCAATGTTAAATGGTTTAATTCAATATGCTTTTTGTCAATATATATATATATATATATATATATATATATATTTTACTCAGCTAATTATTAACTTGCAGACCTTTTGGAATCCTTCACAAATCACCAGTATAAACAAAATGTATGTAAAAACCTTTTTTAACCTTTCGGTGATGATTTTGTTGTACTTGACCAGCAGGTTTTGATGTGCGGCTTGGAGGCAGTGCGTCAGAAACACCTCCCTGTGTTTTGGCCCAGAAAGTGGAACTTCAACACAATGTGTCACAGACTCCAGAGAAGTAACTGAAACAACAGGGTTCGCCTTAATGTGTCTGTTCCGGAAGTGACCTGAAGAAAAATTAGACTGAAAAGGGGGGGGGGGGGGGGATGGTTAGATGGTGGTTTATGTACTGTACAAACCTTCAGGCCAAACATTCATGGGAAATTGTCGTACCTGAATACGGAGGAAGACTATTATCAGCGGGCACACAGCTAGGCTGAAAACTGGCATGATAAAGATGATCAAAGTGATGGTGCTCAATATGTCCAAAAGACTCCTCAACCAGCTGTGCAAATGTTTGGCCAGTTCTTCATCAACCACTTGCATATCCTGAGCCAACATAAGAACACAATTAGACTTGTTGGTGTTGCTGAAATGGGATAAAATCAGATCCATGTTGGATTTCCATCATATTTGCTTGTGGCTGTTATATAATATAATATCTAATTCCCCAAGGACACAACAGTGATGACCTGCTACTTGTGGGCATCAATATTTTCCGTTTGCATGCTTTGACCTCTGCTCTACGCCGGCCTCTGGAGGATGACACTCACCTGAGTGAATGATTGCAGTGACCATCTGGCGTCTGTCTTCTGGGAATGTACAGGCAGGTGAAGAACATCTGACAGCAGCTCAGAGTGTAGCGTACGAGAAGCCCTGAGAGAACCGCAGGTCAGACAGTAGGCGGCACAGCACACGAGTAAGGCTGCAATACAAAAGCACATAAATAAGCTAAGAAAAACACAAACTCTTGTCTATGAAACTACATGTTGCCAATAACCTTGCAGGAGTCCGAGCAGTGCGTACGCAGACAGTCGCGAGTTTCTGAGCTCTCTCCACTCCTCCAGGCCTTGAACTTCTTTGGCTTCACCCGTCCACACGCTCAGGACGGCATCCTGTGCTAAACTAACAGCACACACAGACAGGTAGACCAGCGAGGTAACTGACACCCAGTGCCAGCCAAAAGCCCTCAGATACACCCTGCGGGTCTCTCCACTGCCCTGGAATTACAAAACCAATTCACTACACAATATTCACAGCAAGAGGAGTTCACTCAAAAATAAACTGTATCATCAAGTCATTATTTACAGAAAATATTGCTTTTATTTTATGGTCACTTGGACACTGCTATAAAAACATTATGTTAGTAGACTTAAGTAAATTTCCATTTTTTCCATTTCAAAATTTTCATTTTATTTATTTGACAGACACTTATAATGACTTATAAATGAGGAATACAACAAAGCTTATTTAGATGTTTTTTAAAAATATGATTATTTTCTTTAAAATTATTATATTAACTGTCACCGTCCCACAGGTGGGACGTTTACCATTATATTTTTAAAACAATAATATCTTAGTGAAAACCTTGAGTAATATTGACAAACTATATATCATTTGAAAGCTTACAATCTCTAGTTTCCATATTTGGTGATTGATTTTCAAAATAAATTACAGAGGAGCCGTAATGTATCAATTTGCAACAAGAATATTTTCATACTCCTAGGCGTGTTCAGACCTTTATTTTGAAATAGTAATGAACATGAAAAATCATGAAAAAAATTGTAGAAACCTAGTTTGTTTTCATACCAAGAGTTCAAAAGATAGCATCCATTCAATTATTTTAGAAAAAAAGTCTGAAAATGTTTTAAATATAAAGAAAAAAATAATAAATTCACCATTTGTGATGTGGCAGCGAGCTATGACGCACATTCGTGTTCTTTGTATGTGTTTCTTAGAGGTTGAATTCATATCAAAATCTGCCAAACTTCCCATACTACTTCTGAATAGGATCTCTACTTCATAAATTGTATGAAAATTGTGGAAATAATGGTTCATATCACTCAAAACACATATGGAAATGGAGGCGCCCTTATATGGGCAGTAATGGAGTCTGGTTGTGACCTAGTGAAAAAGTTTGGTACTGCGCCCAAACAAAATCTTACTGAAAGCTCATTTTTTGAGATATCAACCTAAAATTTGAAACACAACTTGTTCAGATTTTTGGCTTTGATTTTTCTGCAGTTTTAGAGTAGCCCAGGTTTTGAAAATATAGATTTTATATAAAATATGAATAATTATTTTTTTTACATTGTACATTTCCATAAACTCAAACTTCTATAACTTTTTTTCTGTTTCACTTTCTTAATTTATTTCACTTCTACATAAATCTGCCAAATGTCTTCTTTAAAACAAGACCAATCTTACGTCTATATTCCAAAGCATTCTTGAATTACAACCATTTATGTTCGAAATGTGCATTTTCATGTCTATTAAAAAAAAGGGGGGTGACAGTTAACAGGTTAAAAAAATGCATTTATTTTAAAAATAATTCAAATTACCATAAAAACTATCATTTTTGGTACATACTTTTTGGAATAGAGAGTGATCTCGTTTCTCGTCAGAATTACTGAGCTTATCTTTACACCTGTAAAAATCAAAACATCAAGAATATTTATACAATGTATTAAGGGTAAGTCTGCATTACAAGCATGGACACAACAAAACCACAGGCTGGGTGGAGAAATAAGGTGTAGCTTGTTGATGATGATGCCACAAGAAGCTCATTAATCTGGAATAAAAAGGGAATGTCGGCGGCCCTGTTCAGTCAGACTAAAGGTTTTCTTTCCCATGAGGTTTTATCAGGCGCCATCATCCTGTGACCAACAATCCCTGTCTGTGATTCTGTGCATATCATCCTTTCTTAACCTGCACTAACCCTCAGGACTAAACCACACAAGGCCAATCTAGTGCAGAGAACACGGTGTAAGAAAAGCATGATAAATTATCTCAGGGGATCAGAAAGATATTAAAATCAGAAGCACTGCTAATGCTCTTAAATGCACAGATGTTTGTCTTGGATTAAAGCAATTTTAATATATTAATGCAGGATCAGTACTAGACAATGAAAGCCTATGGGTCAGGTCACACACTGTGCTTTACCCAAAGCACAGTGGACTTAGATTCTGGACTCTGCCAAATCAAATGGCAGAGGATAAGATAACATGCACACAAACATGCTGGAGACATAATTTAAAAAAATCCTCTATACATAGTACATAGAAAATTTGGGGTCAGTACTATTATTTTTTAATTCAATTATATTAAGAAATGAATACTTTCATTCTGTAAGGATGCATTAAATTGATCAGAAAATTACATTTATAGTGTTATAAAAGGCTTCCATTTCAAATAAATACTTTTATTCATCAAAGAATCCTGAAAAAAATGTTTTACGGTTTCCACAAAGACATTAAGCAGAATAACTGTTTTCAACATTGATAATATTAAGAAATGTTTTTTGAGCACCAAATCAGCCTATTAGAATGATTTCTGAAGGATCATGTGACACTGAAGACTGGATTAATGAAGCTGAAAAGTCAGCTCTGCATCACAGAAATAAGTTACATTAAATTAAAATACATTAACATTGAAAATAGTTATTTTAAATTGTAATAATATTTCATATTACTGTTTTAATATAAACTTATTTTTAAACGAGGATATTCAATAGAATACTTTTACATTATAAAATACAAATAAAAAACTACCAGCTTACCCATCACACGGCTGTTGAGGGCTGTCAGGTGGAATGTCTTCTGTAGCACCTGAGAGGGTGACACTTTAGTTTTAAAAACAATGCCAAACATTTCCACTTATAATAATAAAACAAGTTTCTTTGTGCATCTGCGACTTTTAATATATTGTAACTTTACCTTTTGTAGTAAATAACTGAGAGGTGCCCAGGTCCTCTGTGAGAAATATTTTCTCCAGGTGGCAAAGAGACTGCTGTGCCTTATTCATTAGAACAAAAATATTAAATCTAAAGTTTCTTAGAATTTTATGAAAGGTTTTAATGTCGTCACATGCATGCTACCTGCTTGAGAACACACAAGAGCCCAGGGAGCTCCAGCAGAGGTGGGCGGAGCAATCTGAAGAAACAGAGGCATGTAAAGATCTGAGACGGTGTGAGAACATTCCCATCATCCACCAGGACAAACACACCAAGACTAGAGAAACCAACCTACATGGAAAGACAAAGAGTGTGGGAAATATGGGTCAAATGAGATATCTAGAACAAATAGTTCATCTGGCCTTTACAAAACACTGAGCAGAACTCTGGACTATGTCAGAGGTTTTCACTGATGAAAGAGGGGCATGAAGCAGACCTCAATGTTCTGACGTCAGGTTGTAATCTATGGTAGAGTTTTAATAAATGATTTGAGTTTTAATCTCAGAGCTATGTGGATTTGTTAACTTAGTAAGCCCCTGTGCATCTGGAGAAGAGAGACAATGTAATTTGAAGTCAAAGTCACAGAGAGGGTAGTTTATCAGTAGTAAAAGTGAAAACCAGATTTTTAGGTAGGATGTTGAATATCTACACAAACCAGCAAGTTTTATTGACTAGATTAGTCAGCAAGACAAATAGCAGAACCAGAAAATAAACATGTTGGTCAGTCTAGCAAAAAAAAAATAAAAATAAATAAAAAACAGCCTGTGAATACATGTCCATACTATCAAGCACTCACCAGGAAAGGCATACAGACAGAGTCGAGCATAGAGAAGGCTGTCAAATATCCCAGAATTCTTAGCACCTCCAGCTCCCTGGCCCGTGACTTTGTAACTCTCTGATGGAACCAAGACTCCCATGCAAGAAGCTTCAGCGCCTACACAAAGGCAGATAAAAGTTGGCATGAAATTAAAATTCACCCTATTTTCTGAATGCACATTATTTTGAACAATTCATCCATGCATATGTTTAGTTTTTTTTAACCTTATAATTCTTAAGAAAAAAATCTGGCGAAAATCATAAGAGCTTTTATTAACCAGCTAGCACTATGCAAAGCTATAGTAGGCTCAGCTGTTAGCTTGCTAACTGAAAATACAAAGAAAGGAAAATGTTTAATTTGACACATTTTAGCTTCTGTAATATAACGTGATGACAAAAAAGGCATAAACGTTTTCATGATTAAAGACATACACACAGTGAAGTAATGTTCTATCATTACTAATCAGGCACTGAATAAATTACACATTAAAATGCTGTGTTTCTGGACAAACTTTATACTGAAGCACTGACCAAGTGTAATCACAAAAATAATTTCATTATTGACATACATCTGCTGTCAAACACATTTGATTGTTTATTGAAAACTGGAGTGGAAGGGAAATTGTAATTGTATTTTCTTCCCTATTGTTATTTATATCCGAGTGAAATGGCTTCACAAACCAGGGGCCTGTACCATGATGGTAGTTGAACAAACTCTGGGTTACAGGATTAGTTTTGAGTTGACAAAACCAAACAAATCCAACCAGGCTTTGTTGGTACCATGATGCTGATCATCAACTTTCTCTGTCAACTCAGGCTTTGATACTGAGTTTAGGAGTTTAGGTGTGACATCAGTAGCGAACAGCCAATCACATGCCGAGAAAGAGTGAAAACTGCAATTCATTTCTCGCGAGAGAAGCAGCGCGATTCACTTCTCTCTTCTGCAGATATGGAAAAATATTAAAAATTTTAAAGAATTTACACAGCAAAAAGAAAATAGCTGTCTATGAAAGAGGACAACTAAAAGAAAAAGACTTGCTATATCAGTGCAAGAAAAAGTTAGTTTATAGAATTGATAAAGGTATTGAGAATTGAACTTTTAAGCTCACATGTAGTAATTATATAGCTTAATCTGTTGATTCTAAAGCGTATTTATATTACTTTTATATATTTATTCCTTTAAACTGTGCATAAAAATAATTGATAAACTAAAATTGTAAGTGTGATCGATTAATAATTACATAAATAATATCTAAATCATACAAAATTATTATTCTATATAAGTGTTACTAAAAGCCAGACGATTTTGTCTTTAAAAATAATTTGCTATGTAGTGACCTTTAATTTGGAGTAGAAACAGGTGGAGTGACTTTATCCTTAGCTCACAGCTGATTGGTCCAATTTCGGTTTGAGATCTCTTACCTGGAACATAACCTGCCCCGGACCAGGTTAGCCGGTGTAGAGCGCAAGTTACTATGGTGATGAACACTGCTAAAAGCCAAACCACTTTCATGGTGCATAAAACCCAGGGTTAGAGCAAACTAAACTGAAACATAGCTGGCTAGTCACCTAAACCGGCTTCATAGTATAGGCCCCAGGAGGAGGAATTGACTGCATTGTTGTTGTTTGCTAATCACGTTGATCTCATATGAGTGACAGGTTGCTGGAGGGGATGGATTATTGTTCCAACCCCGAGGGGTAGGGGAAATTAATGAAATTAATTAATTAAGCACTGCAATGTTCCATAAAAATAAGAATGGTTAATTTTGATTTCATGTGACTTAAAAAAAAAAAGTCATTTATGAAAAAACTGAATCTGACCTTTTTGCACTTAAGGCAAGAAATATTCCTCCAATCGAAATCATGCTCAGATACGTGACTGAGGCAATTCTAAGACCGAAATCCTATCACCCGATTGGGATTAAAACAAATTCAAGAGAGGAAGTACTATATATGACATGATCACATGTAAGGATCAGGAACAGAAAAGACCTGGTAGTTATGCAACATTTCCTTGATGAGCTGTTCACTCCTTTCCCTGATGATCTGCTGAGTTTTCTGAGGGACAACAAAGATAATGAAACATATCAGCAACGAAACATAGAGGACAGAAATCATGTACTGAGATGCAATGAACACCCTTCGTCTTCATTTTAAGCACGCTTTATGCAAGCAAATGCTTGAGCAGCCTGCACTTACTAACCCGAAGCTGTTTGGCTTTGTGCTCCACTGCGGAGTTGACAGGGATGAGAACTAGTAGCAATACCACCCCCACCAGCACCCCAGGGCCCAATTCTCCCCACAGTAAACCCAGATAGAGAGTGACTCTCAATGGGCAGGACCAAAGACAGGTCAATGTGACCACCAGCTCTGGTACACATTCAACTTCGCCTAATACATCCGTCCACTGAGTGGTGTTGGATTGTCGCTGAGAACTATGGGAAAGAGACACTGTCTTCAATGTAAAGGAGGAGGGGGAAATGGAAGGAACCATGGAGGAAGAAGAGAAAACTTTTAGCATATAAGAAAAGTAGAAATGTACTGCTTACTTTCAGTGGTTTTGTTAGGACTTAAAAAACACATTAATAGAGCAAATGAGACAGTCAATGACCTTTACCTTCCTGTAGAGGGCACAAGCCAGAACCGCTTGTGCATTGGCTGTAATTATCCTACTATGTTTGTCAAAGTGATGCTGAGAAACAGCGCAGCAGCAAACTGCTCCCAAAACCACCAGAGAATGTGTGTATCCTGCCCAGTCAAACACAGCCTGCCTCTCACAGAACAGGATCACCCATCTGAGGTTAAAAGAGATGTACATAAACAGATTATATATATATTATTGTATTGTACTTTATCTATTTGCGTCCACAATCCCCTCTCTAAAAACCTTTGACTTTAATATGTCAACAAAATGTAACAAGACTTTTGAAACTGGCTTTATCCATTGTTCAGATTTCTGACATGGAAATTATGCAAATTAATGAATATTTAATTGGATTATTTCTATTTGCATATTTAAACAGCTTTCCAAAAACATATAATACAAAAAATACATATATTCACAAACACATTTTTATATATAGTCATAGTCATACCTGAGTGTCAGAAGACCTAAAATGCTAAAAAGATCAGTTGACACTCTCAGGAGCACAACTTTGACTAAGGCTGGATGGAATGTCATCCATATCGCATAAAGGAGAGAGTAACCAGCATTGGTTTTCCTGGAGACCAGCGGTAACTCTCTTCCAGAATCCTCTTCTAGGTCTGACCTCTGTATATATATAAATATTAACATTATTAGCATTACATCTCATACAAAACATGCTTTTCACAATGAAATGAAGCAATTAAAAACAAGTCCAACCAGGAGGATTGTCCCTAACCCTTGTGTATTTTTACAGTTACCTCGCTGTAATTCTGTTGTTTCTCCCACTCACGCTCAAACACTGAGCATAGGGTGTGGACAGAATCCTCATTATACAGCTTGCAAAGGTCAGACAAATGCTGTGGTCCCCTGTGACCCATTACAACCACCCTGAAAACAAAAACTGTTAAAGGTTGCTGTGGTTGACATTATTGAATACCTCCCCAGCTAGACTTACCTAGATTACCCATTTAACCTAAACAGGCTCATACAGATAAGGCTCCCTTTTCACTGTGAGTAGAAATATCAAAACACAGATGTCAGCAAAGACAATAATCTTAGTCAATGGAGAAAGGTAATATACATTTATGAATTGCAAAGGGAATCAACAGATCTATCTATCTGACTGACTGACTGACTGACGGACTAATGGACATGTGGAAGGCTAGACAGATAGATATACTGGTCTGTTCTTATATGAAAAAAGAAAAACTTAAATCAATAATTTTTTTTACTATTGAATGATTTTTCTTTTCTTCAAACCAATACATGTCTTACTTGGCAAATTAATTAATTGTGAAATGTCCACGTTACAATAATGTTAAATTTTTCTTGCGTCCTCTTGACATAACGTTACTAAAAATAGAGACATTAAGTTCATGTACTGTGAAAAAAGCATCAATAAAAGTTGTGCTTACCTCATTTCACTAAAGCTTGCGGCGTCTGAAAACAAATTGTCTTGCAGCGTGTAAATGACATCCTGCAAGAATGCATCTGCGTCTCATACAGCTAGAACAATAGCAGCTTAGAGGAAAACACATAAAGTAGCCCACAATTTACGTTATTAACGCTTGCCGACGAAATTTACGTTTTAAATGTCCTCTGACATGTTTTGTGATAATTAAAGCCCGTTTTCTGTGCTGAATTAAACCGCGTCTGGAGCATAAACAGTGGAGCGTGCAGCGTGCGCACATTGTCCAATCACAGCGGCGATTTTAGCTGGGGGCGTGGCATGTTTCACAGCTGTCAATCATTTTGTTGTGCAAACCATTTCTGTAATTTTTGAGAACACAACTGAAAAAGCTTTTAATTGAGCATTTTACTATTTTAATACTTTGTTTTCATTACACATAATATTTTCAGCGCAATAATTTGAGTAAAGGTTTTTGCAAAGCCTGTACATTTTCTCGAGGTAGCCTATAATACAATTTTAAATTCCAGATTTTCATGTAGGCCTAGTCTCTGACTTTTGGATTTCACTTTGAAACTTACTTTCTAAGGTAAAAAATGTGTGGATTTCCTGACCCACTTATAGCAATTCTTGGTTGGTCAGACTCATTGCAGGCTCTCAGGCCAAAGGTACGGTTACCAGTTCAATATGGTGTGACTGTAGCTAAAAAAGTTATCTTGCTTTTGTGGAAAAAAAATACTAGACCCCTCTTTTCTGACTGGCTAACTGGACTCACTTCTACGTTACACCTTGAAAGAATTAGATACTCAATATCCGGGAACCCTGCAAAATTCGATAAGATGTGGGAACCAGTTTTTACTTTTTTGTCAAATCAGAAGGACTAATTATTAGGGCCCGAGCACCGATGGTGAGAGGACCCTATTGTTTTTGCTCTGTTTATTATTAGGGCCCGAGCACCGATGGTGAGAGGACCCTATTGTTTTTGCTCCGTTTATTATTATTAGGGCCCGAGCACCGATGGTGAGAGGACCCTATTGTTTTTGCTCCGTTTATTATTATTCCGCTTCTTCTTCTTCTTCTCCTAAATTAATTGCATTTTTGAGGGCCTAAACATGCTCGAAAACTCATGAAACTTTGCACACGCTTCAGAAGTGGTGAAAATTTACGTGTGATGTGGTTTTCAAAATTGGGTGGGGCAAATTCGGTAAATTATTGCCCCCAAATTTTGCCCCGGCTCTACGTTTCACGTACAGGTATGAAATTTGGTACATACATGTAATGACCCAATACCTACAAAAAAGTCTCTTGGAGCATAGCCCTAAACACAACAGGAAGTGAGCTATTTTGAACTTCCTCCTAGATTTTGTGCATTTTTCGTAATTTCCTGATGTTGTACTTTAACGAACTCCTCCTAGAGATTAAATCAGATCCACATAATATTTTGTCAGTCTAATCTTAAGGCCTTTGCGACGTTAAATTGCGAAGATCTAGAGTTTTCGTCGAAGGATGTGACCTCGGCGGCCTGACAAAAATGTAGATGTGCAAATCCAATTTCAGCCTCTGGGTGAAATATGCATCATCAGATAACTTCTGTGTAAATGATGCAGTTCCGATGTTGCTAGGCAACCACAGACAGCCTGCAGTAACTCAGGCATACAATGTCCGATCTGCCCCAAACTTCACATGTGTGATAAGAGTCCTGTCCTGAACACATGACCATCCTCATATTAGATTATTGTAATAGCGCCACCTGCTGGTAGCAGGAAGTGTGATAAAAATAAATGACTTTGACATAGTCCTCCGGCTTAAACATGCTCGAAAACTAATGAAACTTTGCACACACTTCAGAAGTGGTGAAAATGTACATGTGATGTGGGTTTCAGAATTGGGTGGGGCAAATTACTTTAACATATTCCCCCTATATTTATATACTGCCCACCGTGCTCTGTCTTCCTAAAGCCACCGGGTGGCGGTGGCACGGGTGCGAGGGCCCTTTCATCGCTGCTTGCAGCTTTAATTAGGGCCCAAGCCTTGAAAAGGCGAAGGCCCTATTGTTTTCCTTAGGATTATTAGGGCCCAAGCCTTGAAAAGGCGAAGGCCCTATTGTTTTCCTTAGGATTATTAGGGCCCAAGCCTTGAAAAGGCGAAGGCCCTATTGTTTTCCTTAGGATTATTATTATTATTATTATTATTATTATTATTTTATCGACTATTCGGGCACTTTTGGGGCTCTTAACGTGCACGAAAACTCTTGAAACTTTGCACACTGGTCAGAACCCGTGGCCATCAGGGCCGGGCTGAAGCTGGTACCCGGGCGTGGCAGGGGGGCTCGTCAGCGCCCCCTGGAACGGGGTCCGAAAACTTGGTCCATAAATCAAACACGCTTGCATGTAATAATATGAAACTCGGTACACATATAGATCTCATCGATTTATATATCCTTTGTACTTTTACTTTTTACCCCAGCCCAACAGGAAGTCGGCTATTATGGTTTGTTTGGAAGCGTATGCCCCTGGAATTCGATATACTCCTCCTAGAGAATTCAACCAATCGCAACGAAACTCGGTCAGCATGATGTCAAGACATTGAGGATGAAAAATTGCCAGGGGATTTCTGATATCTCGAACGGTTTGGCCGTGACGAGGAAACGAATTTATGGCGAATAATGGAAACAGGAAGTGTGTTATAACTTCTGCATACATTAACTGATCTTGATGAAACTTCAACAGTGTGTTCGCTGTAAGAAGCCGATCACATGGATGTGACTATTGTGAGTCAAAGTTATAGCGCCACCAACTGGCAGCAGGAAGTGTGTCACTTTCAAAATGCTTTGAAATCACCCTCTTATTTTTACCCGATTTGCTTCAAACTTGATGTGTATAATGTAGACACTCGCCAGATGTAGACCTGTGAAAGGATTATTGATATCTTAGATACTGTTGCCATGGCAACGCATCAAACTTTAATATTCTTTTTGGATGCTTTTGAGACTCTTAGCATGCCTGAAATTGCTTAAAATTGCATGAAACTCGACAGACAGATCACATTTATTAGCCAGTAGACATGTGCAAAGTTTCAGAAACGGGCGTGGTGCAGGGGCTCAGTAGCGCCACCTTTTGTGACAAAAGTGGGTGGGGGGGGGGGTTACTTTCATCTACAGTTACAAAACTTTTTCAACTTGATGAAAATACATTAAAGATGCTAAATTGTGAACGGATATTGAATATCTCAAACGGTTTTGCTATGGCGAGGGATTATGTCAAAAAGAGAATCAGGAAATGTCTCATATCTTTCTAAAATGTAATTATACACCATTTATTTTTCTATAAAATTATACTAATATTAGAACTAAACCCATTGTATTCCTTTTTTTCAATTTAAGATTTATGTTTAAGTTTAAAAACAGCCAGAATGGTTGTTTAGCCAAAAAAATAAAAAAATAAAAATCATTCACAGTGCTTTACTGCCCTCTTGTGTTCAAAATCAGGTAGGCCAATTGTATTAAATTGTAGGGATGCTACTATGGGAATATTTTCCCACCGTGACTCCGCTGGGGGCTTTAAAGTCGCTAACTTGAAAGCGAAAGTAACGGACGTCTCCACAAGACGTGCAGCTGTGAGCATTTTCGTTTCATTTTAAAGTATTTTACAAAATCACAATGTTGTGTTTGATTGCGAGTATCCAAAAATAAGTAAACACTTTGCAGTTTGAATGATCTTCTTGAATAAAATGACGGAGTAGCCAATGTTTCCACTGTTCGATCGCGGACGTCCACACGGACATTGATAATGGTGGTGCGTGCAGAGCGCTCGAGGGAATTCCTATGGAAGTAGGAATGAACTAAAAAACGTTCACTCTGTTCTGCTCGCTCATCGTCGTGGACGCGCAGCGTTATGAATGCCCGTGTGATGCAGCATAACACAGCAGAGAGAGACGCTCACTCTCAACTCGTGATTAATGAAATTTGACTCCGGTTGCTGATCTTTGCTGCAACTTTCGTTCAGCTCACAATTTAGTAAGCAAACCCGTTCAGGTTTTAATTGTAGTGACTAAATGATTTTATTAAACACACACACACACACACACACACACACACACACACAAACACACACATCAAATTGACGGTGGGGGGCAATGGTATATTTAAATCTGCAAATTGTAATATATGCAGGGCACCCCGGTCCAGTCTTATTAAATGTTTGCTTCATCTTTCATTTTTAATTTGTAAATTTGATCAATAAATTCAATTATTTAGAATGATAAGACACTATATGGCTTTTACCCTAGGTAGGGCTGATCAAATTAAATCGTTTACACTGAAAAATAACAATGCATTAAATAATGTTATGAGATTGTTTTAAATATAAGTCAATTAAAAATCGTTGGGAAGAATGATACTTTTAAACATAACACTAAACCGTCATTAGGTGTCGCCAGGCGACCGTCTTAATGAGCGAGTCATTGATTCATTCGTTCAAACAATTCGTTCGAACGGTTGAGTCATTCATGAATGAGACAGATTATGGATTGGTCATTGAATCTTTAAGTCAACCGATTCGTTCAAAATGCTGAATCATTCAGTAATGAGAACGCGTTGCTGTGAGATGCTCGATGGTTCTGCTGTGATCTTTGTTGAACTATTTTCGCTGCTGAAACAGAAAAAAGTCAATATTGCATCTAAAATGTAAGTGATTTGACTTGTGTGTTTGTGTGTGTGTGTGTGTGTGTGTGTGTGATTGCGTCTGTTACAGTGATTGTTTAACCCTTGTTAAAGTTTAGGCCTTGTCTTTTTGGATATATATCTTTTTAAATAAAAAAATAGGCATACAACCCATATATTTTAAATGTATTGTTTGCTTTAAATTACATTAAGATTTGTATGTTTGGTAATTGAACCTGAATGAATTTTAAATGAATGTGCTATATATCAGATCATATATTTGTTTTCCTTAACATTTAAACTAACACTAACTTTATTCTCATCTGAATGATAGATTATTTATTTCTGTATATAATAAAAACACATTTGATTTTTCTTTTTTAATCAATGTAGAATGTGTAACTGAAAAAATAAACAGATTAGGGCTCTGTTCGAGAACAAGAAATGAAAACC